TCCCAAAGTGGCACGGCCTTTTCGGAGAGCTTGTGGAGTTCTCACAAGAGCAGAGGCTCCATGGGCACTTGGGGGGGTCATTGCAGGCTCAGCTTTCAAAGTCATAGACTCTGTGCCTTCCTACCGGTCATCCCGGGTACCAGGAATGTCCTTTGTCCTTACCTTGGACTCAGAGTACCTCTATTCCTGGCTCCATCTTCTGTGTGCTGCTCTTCCTGATTTCCCCAGCTGCTGGTGCCCTCCCTCCCTAACTGCCTGGTATTGACCCTCCTTTGTGTATATCTGCACTTGTTAATTTTATGTGTTTTCTGTGTATTTTTACATGTTCTTATTGTCTCCCTCATCAGAATGCAAGCTGCTTGTGTGCAAGGTGTGTGTGTGTGTGTGTGTGTGTGTGTGTGTGTGCTGGAATCCCCAGCACCTCGAACAGCTCCTGTCATTTAATTGACAATTAATAAATCCTTGTTGATTGATTGCTTGAGTTGGCCATGTCAATGTCAGCTCTTGTAATAAATTGGTCCGGGGATCCTCTAAGGGCCCTCGTACCCAGTGATTCTGTGAAGACTCCCTCTTCTGGCTCACAATCTTATGTTTCCTCCTTCCCTGTCCCAGGGTCCTCTCTTGGAGGATGTCAGTGTGCCCTCCGTTGGCTCCTGGATGGGATGACCTTTCTGGAGCAAGTGCAAAGGGAGGGAGAGGTGTGGATGAGAGAAGGTCTATGCCAACCCCCTACAGTGAGGATAGGGGAGGTCCCCACCATCTCCCCATAGAGGGCAAGCCTGAAACTATTCAGATGACTTTCTGGCAAAGCTGCTTTCCTGTTTCTAACCATTGTTCTACAGCAGAAGCTGCTCCTAAGACACCAGCCTCCAAAGAGAATTTGGGCTGGGGCTTTGGGGCTGTCCAAGAGGGTCAGAGAACACTGCCCTAGTGCCTTCTTTCGCTGGGATTGAGCCTGTGGCCAGAATCTCTGTAGTTCCTTTTGAAAGAGGATGTTTCCTCAAAGGAGTTTCTAGAGACATCCTAAGCCAGGTCACCTGCAGGTAATGGCTCCAACACAGCTTTGGGTGGGGAGAGGCAGTCTGTGCAGTGGAGAGGGTTGGACTTGATGAAGTCATGAGGATCCCAGTTCAAATCCTGTTGTAGACACTTCCTGGCTGTGTGACCATGGGCAAGTCATTGAATATCACTCAGAATCATTTTCCCCATCTGTAAAATGGGGAGAGAGGAGAGGTGGTGTAGTGAAAGGGAGTGTAGAGGAGTTTGGTTCAAATCCTGTTTCTGGGCAAACTACCTAAGCTTTCTCTGAGGTTGTTTTCTCATCTGTATAATGGGATGAGAATATAGCAGCTGCACCACTCAGCTCTAGGACTGTCACGAAGCTTGTATAGGTTTAAGTAAAGTCTTTTACAAACCTGAAGCTTCTGCTGATGTCAGTCATTATTGTGACCCCATCTTGCCCTATAGGCCCAGCACCAAGACCAAGTCATTTAGATGCAATGGGAACAGAGAAGAAGGTGATGATCTGAGGGCAGGAATGGGGAGCGGTCTTTCCTCACATGAGGGGCCCCTTGCTTAGGGGAGGGGGGGGTGCAAGGGAGCGAGAGGTCTGTGTGTAGAAACACATCTGAACGGCCTTCTAGCCCCAATCATACTATGGAATTTGCCACCTGGGGGCTCTGGTCCCCTGGAAGGGAGGCTTATTATTGGAGGTTTCTGGAGTCAGAAGAGCTGAGGACTTAGCTTCTCACTTTCCATGCTGCTCCTCACTGTGCCTGGGGGTGGGGTGGGAGATTGGCTGCCAGGGGTGGGGGGAGTCTGGAGGAAAAAGGCAGATTACATGGTAGTGCCAGGGTCTGGGGTCTTGACCATGGGTTTTCCTATGGGCTCTTACTCCCAGCTTCCAGGAATGAAACACAGACACAGAGATAATTTTAATGAAAATGGTTTCTGTGTTTCTATTTGTCAACAAATACAGTTATTTACAAATTGCCCATATGAAAATGTAAAACTGCTCCTTACATCTTCACACGCCTTCTGAATACCTGAATAAAGCTTAGGGACAAGACAAGCTGAGCGCTTTGCAGCCACGGGACGGAAACGTTTTGTGCATTAGAAAAGAATAGACACGATGGAAAAAAAAAGAATGCAATCATACAATTTACAAACCAACCTTGACAAAAAGTCTTAGACAGCTGCCTCCATCTACAAAATAAATATTCAAGTAAATTTAATTAGGCAAAATGAGGTCTTCAGGATCACAATTTACAGAGATTTCGGCTTTTTTGATCAAGGCCTATTTTACATGGATTTAGATCCAGTGGGTCACTTCTGATGGCCACAGGGGCTGCAGAATGGGTGGGGTAAGGGGCACATCACTTCTTTATTACAACACTTTATTGAAAAGTAGTGACTGGTGGGCTCAGTGGCAAAGGATGCTGAGAAACCAGGGATGTGCAAAGGAATCACAAAATACAGCATGGAAAAGGCCCATGGGTGGTTTTCTAAATGCTACAGAGGGGTTTGATCGTTGGTGGCCAGCCTCCCCAGGCACCCTCTCTTGAGGACCAACAATGTTGAGCTCAGGAACTAGAGAAGGGCTGGCCCCAGAGGTAAAAGTTGCGAATTTATAGAATACAGAAGGTACAGAATCCCCGACCTCATGAGGAGTTGCTACATCCATTTGCAACTTTCCTGGAGAGAAAATTAGATTACACATGGCTGAGCCATTCTAGACCCCAGGCTTTATCCAAACCACCCAGGGCTCACTGTCCTTTCCGGAGGAGTTCAGGTGCCTGGCACCCCTGGTGGTTTAGTGCATGGCACTTTTTGCGGCAATTGATTTGCTGACACAGTAGAAAGTGGTGGATGGAGGGGATTATGACCAAGATAGGATGGAGAGAATGGAGTCCAGTCATCCTGACACAGACAAAGTGTCTCTCTGTCTCTGTCTCTCCCTCCTTCCATCCCCCCACCACCCTTCACTCTGGTCAGATTCTGTTTCTTGCTCTCCTTGCTTGAAGCTCATTGGAAAAATGTATATAGGCTATGGATACTGAGCTACAAGGCAATGCACAGACCATTTAGTCTAACCCCCTCACTTTATAGAGGAGGAAACTGAGGCTCAGGAATATTAAATGACTTTTCCAAAGACATACAGGTAGTTGGTATTAGAGATGGGGCTTGAACCCAGGTTATGTTTGTTCTGGTGAAAGGTGTGAAGTACAAATTGGAAAATGATGGTTATTTCAGGCTCACAGCCTGATTCAACTGGGTGGTGACTTAGGTGGCCTAGAAGTGGGGGAGGAAGGAGGAGCGGAAAAAGGACAGAGAGAGTTGTTGTGAAAAACCAAAGGCATAGGGAAGAATGGCCAAAATGGAACCCCTGGATCTTGGTTCCTGCTTGGTCTCCCCTGTTGGGACCTAAGAAACTGATGTAAGTCCCCAGTTAGTCCACAGAGACCCCACCGCCTGAGGGCTGAGCGACAAAATGGAACACAGTGGTCTTACTTCCACACTTCCAAAACACATGTAATGTTGAAAAATGAACAGTGTTGGGGTGCTCAGGAAAACAAATTTGAGGGTCCCCAAGTTCCCATTTTAATAGTCAAACATCCGTGTGATTCCAAAGTCCCAATCATTTCTGCATCTCAGCGTATGTCTCATTCTTGTGCTTTGTTAGGAAGGAAGGAGAGGCAGGATACTGATGCTTCACTTAGGGAATGAAACCCATGTTGAATTGGCCTCAGGGACTTCAGAATTTGGGGGGAGGGGCTTGGCTCTGCTAAACTGCTAACCATTATCCCAGATTAGTTATCAGTGCACAAATTAATGGATCACTTTGTACCATTTGGACTCTCCTTCTAGAGAGTTTGCATTGAAACCATTCAACGAGTCCACAGAATGTTCTGCCGAGGTTTAGTTCCTAAATAATATTAAAATCTCCTTCCTGTATCTGCCCAATGGCTATGCTTCCAGGTCCTGGGGGCCCTCTAGCAGGGCTGCCTTCTTCCCATTCCTCCTTTCCTCCTCATCCCAAATCACCAAATGGAGGTGAACCGGGAGGAGGCCTCAGATGAAACACCAATGAAGCATTTTATAAATGAATGAATTCAGGTCCCAAACACAGAGAGGATCTCTTCTAAATAAGGGTCTAGTAAACTTACACTTTTCTAAGATCCAACCGAGCCAAACTCTAGGTTACATCCCACTCTGCTAAGAAATATCCACATGGAAGTTCCCAGGTGAGAACAAGGGCTGTGCTGTAAAAACCCCCAAACTCTTCCCAGGACAGCCAGCCCAAACTCATGCCTAGCCCCAGTCCTGGCCAAGGGAGATTCACCCTCTTCACGTAAGTGTTGTGCACTTTGGAAAGCACCTAAGACTTCTACAGAGCATTCAAGCTTGTAATTTCATCAGATTCTCAGAGCAAAGTTTGGCCGTAGGATCTCCCTCTGTCTTTGCATGATCTTAAAAAGCCTTCTGAGAGTCCTTTATCATCTAGGCAACTTTTGTGCCAGTGCTCCTTATGAGATCTCAGCAATTTTAAAAGTGGTCCTACATGTAGATGATATTGGTCCAAATGGAGGGCACACACACCTCTACAATGAGGATTTTTTTGAAAGGGGAAAAAAGCTATAGACAGACACTGAAAAATATAAAAATATATAAAACATTTATAAGCCATATTCAGTTTTATCAAAGCCAAAGCCAAAGTTTTGGGGAAAAAATAAGGTTTGTATCTGGACCGATATTTATTTATTTATTTTTAATGCTTAGTATTTTTTTTTTTTTTTGGCTAGGCAATGGAGTTAAGTGACTTGCCCAGGGTCACACAGCTAGTAAGTGTCAAGTGTCTGAGGCCGTATTTGAACTCAGGTCCTCCTGACTCTAGGGCTGGTGCTCTACCCACTGCACCACCTAGCTGCCCCCCCTCCCCTGCCTTGGACCAATATTTATAAAACATATGGGCAGGAATTACTAAATAAGTTAAATAATTTGTGAACAGAAATGCTGCAATTTTACATGGAAGTGGCCAGAGAGGTATGTTCAGACCCAGTGGCTTACTTACCAAGCTCCCTTCACAGATACACATCAATCACCTACAGTAATCTGCCAGGCAGAGAATCAGAGGAATTATGGTCTAATGGATAGCATTGCAATTGGAAACTAGAAGACCCAGGCTCCAATTCTGCCTCAGAGTCGTACTAGCTGTGTGACCCTGGGCAAGTGCTTTTCACTCCTGGAGACTCAGGTTCCTTATATGCAAAATGGAGACGATGATAGTGCCTACTTCACAGGGCTGTCGTGAGGCTCAAGTGAGCTGAGTGCCTGCAAACCTTTAAAGTGCTATAGAAATGACAGCTATTGTTATTATTATTACTAGAGCATTCAGTTAACCAGAATAACTTATTGCCCTGAGTGTATTTTGGATAAATGAAAGGGTTTTTTGTGTTTTTTTTTTTTTTTGTACTGCCGGGGTCCAAACTGAAGATCATTCTGGAAGCCTCCCTGAGAATACACTTTTAGGATCACTGCCCTGGAGTAATAACAACACTGTATTTATTTATTTTTACCTGCCTTTCTGATAAATAAAGCTGGTAAGTGGATTTCTGTTTTTTATTTTTTTTCTCTCTCTTCAAAGAAATGAAATCCACCTACCCAGAAAAATCAGATCTCTCATGAGACTTACAGTGGCTGACAGAGCAAGGATAAAATAGGTACTTAACCTATTCTATTGATAATGTTTGATGATGTAAATAGAGAACATTCCACTGAGGGGACAGAGGAAGATGTCCCTGCCTGGCCACCCAGGTCATCCTCAGGCTTTGTCAAGTACTCTAGATGTCCACTAGGGGGAGATCAACTCTAGGAAGAAGGAAAGATGCCTTGCTTCCCAGAGCTCTCGCTCATTCTGAAACATGGTTGGTTGGCTTTCTTGAGAATGGAATGGATTGGCTTGTTCACTAAAGACCTGACTTTTTGGCCAAAGTGGCCTGATCCATGTTTCTAGTGTACTGCTTCATTAGTGCTCCTCTCAAACACTGCCCATCTTCCCCCAGCCTAGGGATGGTCAGTCCTACCAAGCCCTGCCTTTGTGCACAGCCCAGCCTCTTCTAAATCTGGTGGGGAGAATGGAATCCTGGAGGAGGGAATGAGGCAAACACTGACTGAGCACATTGTAGAAGGTGGGTGGTAGGACAGGGGCAAGAATAAAAGGAATACAGAGGGGGCACTCAGGGAGGCCAGCCCGGAAAATCCCAACCATCGGACTATTTACTGAGGCCCTGGACAGTGAAGATGCAATGTTGGCTTTTATGTCAGTGTTGTCTGAATCACTATGATGAAAGCCCCCCTCAAATGGGACCGATGGAAAAGACAAAGGCAGCCAAATGTCAGGGAAGAGAAACTGAAGAATGAAAATCACCAAGAAATTCAAAATTCTTTTAGTTCAGAAAATGATGCAAGTGTTCCTTCATATTCCCAGCTCACTCAGAATGAAAAGGGCTGCCACTTTTTCTTTTCTTTTTCTTTTTTTTAAACAAAGATAACAATATAAAAAATCTAATCTTAAAGAGCCTTCAACATACAATTAGAAACTTGCCAAAGGGAACTCAATCTTCAGAGGTAAGCTGGGGAAATTTGACATGAAATCCCCACCATGTTCTTAATTATTCAATGGTCTCCAGGACGAGGCTGTTCTCTACGGACTCGAGTTGTGTGCTAGCTCTACTTTGTTGCTGCCCCAAAGGAGCTCCACTCTCTTCAGGGTGAATTAGCTCCCTGGCTAACGTCTCTAAGATGCTCCTAGCTCCAGGCGCCATCATCCCTTATGAAAAAAGGCCATTTTGATAGAGCCTCATCCAGTGCATATCATGCTGCACTAATATAGTGCAAAAATGTGCCTTCCGGAAAGAGAGAGAAAAAAAGATGCAGGCAGGAAGTTGAGGAGTTGGCAAAAGTAGAAACCTATTGTGTCAGCTGAAGAGAATCCATTTTCCAGAAGTGAGCCACTCAGAAACACTAACTTTGAAGACACTGTCTTTCCAGATACCTGCACGTGCATGGCTGGCTGGCGCTGACACTTGGGAGCAGGACGAGACCGATGTCTTCAAACTGAGTCTCTGCCTCCTGAAATGAGGGCCAACAAGTGCTGCTATCAACTGCCAAGTTGTTTGGTTTTCTCAATAGGTTAATCCACTCTGTTTAGAGTTTATGCTTTGCCAGCATGAAGTGGCTTGTTACAAAGGATATAATCTGACAGAGTAATAGTACGATTCAACAGAGTTGCTATACAGGTTATTATGCTCAAATCTAGCATGTGGTAGAGTGCTCAGTAGAAACTCTTCATGCTAACAGGTTACAATGGGTTGGTTAACACTGAAGATCAAGCTTGGCGTCAGGTGCCATCCTTACAACAGGACCCAGATGGTGGCTTTTGCAGAAAAGATGATAGAAATCACTCAGAGTCAGGTTTCTTCAATTAGGCTGTCTGCCAGAATTACCCACACTGATGGTTTAGTTTGACACACTACCATCACAAGCATCCCCACTGGCATTGGGAAATCCACTCTTCTGTTCTAGGATGCATTTAAAAGAAATGGTCAAAATGCATGTTTATCCACACAAGTTGAACGCTCTCAGGACCTCTGGACACCTATTTTAAAGGCAGGAGGCAGAAGCTGGTCATTGCCAACAGCAATGAAAGCTCACATATCCGCATCGCCATCATAAGCCAAGGTCAAAGGTTTCAGACGGTTGTTCTGCCTTCTCTGGGGTTTCTTTGGCTTTTTACTGTAACAAGGAAGAAAATTAAAACACTTTAGGAGAGATCTGATCAGCTAATTACTAAGTTCAGGAATTTGAGGGACAAACAGTGCCTCCCAATCCAAAAGCCTTGCCTACATACTTGCTGAAACATAATCTTTGGCCTGGCTACCACCTCTGCCAAGCAATTAAAAGATAGATGACAAAAGTGATCTCTTCTCCTACTGATGTGGAGAGTTACCCACTCTGGTATGCTCCCTCCCTCTGTGAGCTCTTCCACATTCACAAAAGTGGCTTGAGCAGGGTTGGATGGCTCAGAAATCAGATTCTTACTTCCCATATGATTTTTTTTTGTTTTTTTGATAAGGCGATTGGGGGTTAAGTGACTTGCCCAGGGTCACGCAGCTAGTAAGTGGCAAGTGTCTGAGGCTGGATTTGAACTCAGGTCCTCCTGACTCCAAGGCCAGAGATCTCCCATGTGATTTAAACCCACTACCTCAATTCCAAACTCATCACCAATCCCAAAGCATGAAATTCTGGCCACATACAGAGTTTGGCAAGGACATGGGATCTTAGCATTAGGGCTTACAGGGATCTTCAAGAACATTTGGTCCAATCTCTTCATTTTACACATGGAGAAACTGAGACTTGGAGAGGAGAAGTGACTTGCTCGGTGTCACAGGGATAATACATGGCATAGCCAGAATTGGAACTCATGTCTTTTGATTATAAGTAAGGAAAAATTGATACAAAGAAAAATTCCCTGTTAGAATGATCCCTAAAGAGAACAGGTTTCCTCAGGAGGTGGTAAATCTTCTTTTCCTAAAAACCCTTTATGCAAATGTTGGAGGACCTCTTGTGGAGAATGTTGTAGAGAGGCTTCCTATTGGACTATGGAATTGGACTCAAGGATCATGGTGGCCCCTTTCAACTCTAAGACTCTCTGCGTCTAGTACACATTTCCAGTTCTACAGTTGAAGAGAGACTGAATTCCCACCCTTCAAAGACAAATAGAGGAATGCAATAACAGAATTCAGGAGGCAGTTTCATGAGAGACCAAGCCAGGAAGACCTGGCTTCAAATTCTGCCTCCAATACTCACTAGCTTTGTGCCCATGGACACATCATTGAATCTCCCTGAGCCTCAGTTTCCTTATCTGTAAAATGGGGTTAATAATACTCACCTCTTATGGCTGTTGTGGGGCCCTTGCAAATGTTTAAATGTTCTGCTTTTATTGTGTCCACTGCTTTTATTATGATTATCACATGTCACAGAGAGTTCACATGCAAACCTTCAACATGAGTTAAGGATAATTTGAAATGTATGTAGATACCACAACTATGAGCATTTTCATTTGGACTCATGATACTGCCAGGTAAGCATTAAATAACCACCTGTGTAATCTTGAATTAGACCAGTCTCCTGGACAGTTTTAAAATGCTCCCATGCTCCCCCAACACAGGAAGAGAAAGATTTCTCCATTTACTGAGATGGCAGGAAATTCAGACACTCACCAGGCTAGATAGATCATAGACACAACAAAGATGAGTAGGACAAAAGCCCCCGCTGCCACGCCGTACACCCAGGTCTTCAGTCGCCCGTCTAGAGGAAGGGATGTTAGTTATTAGTTTCCATTAGTCTGGGTACATGACAGGCTTGAGCTGGACTCAGGAGGGATCAGAGATTTTTCTAACTAAAAAGAAACTGTCATCAGGGCACAGTTAAGGATTAATGTGGGGCCACCATTATGAAGTTAGAGGGAGGGAGCCTCATCAGGAAAAACCTAACCAGACTGCCCCTTAGGCTTGGGTTTCACGCAGGCACGTCCAAGGTTCTGATGTTCCTTTCTAGGCATGAGTCAATAATGATGCTTTAAGAATATGTGTGAGAAAGGCTATCAAACCCTCCCAGGGTCAGAGAGCCACTGAGGGGAAGAAAGGAAAAACTGAACTATCTCCAGAAAACTCTCTAGTCTGGACCAGGTCCTAGAAGGTAAGTAGGTATGCCAGCTGCCATGGTAACCATGGGTGCTCTATCTTCTAAAGCTCTGAATGGGTCAATAAGATGAGATTCTGGCAACATCAACAGCACCCTTCAGATGTAAGCCTGCTTTGAGCATCTAACCTTCCTCTCATCATTAAAAAAGTGCCCTAAGTTTGCTTGGTTCCCATCTTTGCTAACCAAGTGCTTTCCTATTATTTTCTGCCAATAGGCCTTGTGATGTTTCCTGCAACGATCAGACAAAGAAGAAAAAAAATGACTTTTCCAGCATTTCCTCATTTCATAACAATGAGCACAGGCAGGAACCACAGGACATCAGGGATTGAATTGCTTTTTGGTGGCGTCAACATTTTCCCTCGAACCTATGAATTCTGTCTTACAAATAAATTCTAAATGAGCAGCGTGCATTATTTATGGAACCCCCTACTTTGCTGTAGCGAGTGATATGAAAAAGGAGTCCTAAGGGTGGTTTGGAAGGGGCTGTCACATGGAGAGGGTTTGAGCGTGTTCTGCCAAAGGGTGGATCCAGTAGCAAAGAAATTGAAACAGGGTCAGCTTAATCTCAATTTCAGGAAATTTTTTAGTAACAATGAGAGTGATCCCAAAGTGGAGAGGGCTATGGAGAGGCTGGGGTGGGGGCAGCCCCTCCCTTGAGAACTTTAAGTGCAGGCTGGATGGTCCAATGGGAATGTCATAATGGGGTTGCCTTTGAGGTACAGGTTGGCAGAGATGAACTCCGAAGCCTCTTGCAACTTTTAAATTCTGTGCTAGGTAATGGAGGAGCCTCCTAGTACCAAAGAAAGGAGGGTCAAGCATGAGCTGAGCAGTCAGATTTGGAGAGGTGCATTTTAGGTAGAAGTGCACACATCACAATTTGAAAAACACACATGGGATGAGTTGATCTTCCTAAGTCAGTTCCTTCTTTTTGATTCTGTAACTGATGTTTTACACCTGACTTTTCATATAGTGGGTTGACTATAAGATGGATGGTTTGAGATGGTAGCATTTTCTACAAACTTCTTTTGACGTTGTCTTCTTATGTCAGTGTGGTTTCATTTTAGCGCGTTAACAAGCATTTCCTCCATCTATTAGTGCCTCTCATTTCCTTTCCACATTCATTCTAAGTGCTCCTAAGAACCTGCAGAGATATATACTAAAGCAATGGGCCAGCTGAATTTCAACCACTGAGAGTTAAAAGATTTTTATTTGATTTGGTGAAATCACATGGAGTGATAGAAAAGATGTCCTACCAATGAGGGCTGTCTTAAAATGGAATGGGCTGCCACAAGAGTGGGTATGTTCCCACACATTGGAGCTGTTCAAGTAGAGGTTAGGTGGTCATTGCTCAGGGATATGGTGGCGGGGATTATTTTTAGAGTATGGAATTGAATCAGAAAGCCATTGTGGTTGGTCCCTTTCAGATCTACGAAACGGTGATTCTGTGATCACTCATCAAGAAACTTTTCTGATACCATACAGGTCAATTTCTTTCTAACTAGTAATAAGTCACTTCATCTGAACTCATAAGAGCCTTGACATGCATGTATGACTTGGGAAATTTCTGACTTATCATTATTATCATAAGTCTTTGATGTGTTCAGTGGAGACCACTTATTAATTGATGACCATATGCCTGGGTTTGGAAATTTTCGAGATGAATTTATTTGCCAAACATGTCAAATCTTGGCTCTGTACTTTTTTACAAGGCTTTATAGATTTCTTCTTCCTTTCTACAATTTAAAAATAACAGTGGGGGATTTCTATGTCTTAGGCAGGCTTACCAACCAACAAGGTATTAGGTATTTAGATGGAATCTAAAGCAAGTCAGAGAGAGCTAGGGGAGGATCAGATTTGGATTTCACTTGCCATTAAGTGATGCTGTCCACATCCAGCTATAAGAAAAAAAATTTGACCTTGGGGCAAAAAATAGTCATTTTGCTGGTTAGCTTCCATGCTATCACTCTTCTTGGCAGATGTAATCACTTCTCTTTCCAGCCAAGAGATCAAAGTTTTATCATGTTCTGGAGCTTTGCTATTCTTCCCCATACTAGCCCCATAAGTGAGGATCACTTCAGAGAAAACAAATCTCAAACTGAAAGTAATGGAGAACACTCATACTTTCTTCTCCGTTTTATGGTGAATGGACCTTTTAGGATACTAGGTCAAGAAAGCAAATCCCCATCTGGGGGTTGGTTCCCCCTGCTTTTAGATGCTGAACGATTCCGAGTTTCTGAAGATTAAGCGGGAGGTCAGCTTTCCCTAGGATGTCACGTTTCTAGTTTGGAAGTTAGGCTCATGTTAATTTTTTTTGTTCAGTCATACCTTAGCCTCAAAATACATGAAAAACATATTTAGTGGAAGTCAAAAGAAATTGGAGGACATTTTGATGGAATGTCAAAGAAATGGTTCTCAGTTGTGCCAACATTTATTTTATCTCTTATCGTGGCACCTCTTCTAGGGAGTTATGGAGGGCTCCTGGTGTTATATTTTCTATTGGGTGTTTGCTGACCAAACTTACTATTCATTGCTCCCATCAGATCCCTTATCCTGGGATCCTAGGGGTCTGCCTAACTCCAGTGCTACCTCTGTGCTCAAACCTACTTTATGGGAGTAGGCAACTAGAAAGAGAGAAGAGTGAGCACAGTTTGATTTTGGTCCCTAAGCCCTCACCTGAATGGTTGGCAGATGGACTAGGTGGGGAGATGTCTCCTGGACAATGGTCATAGTGGGTTAGGTTACTCCTGTACCCTTGGGCTGAAAGACACCCAAGGGGCCCACCCTTCTGGTAAGCATTGAGTGTTAACATGGGCTGTAGGAATAGGAAGGCAGAACACAAAGGGGTCTCCACGAATGAGGGTTCAGGCATGGATGCACCTTCTGGCTCTGACGCTGTCACTGCAAGGACATGTTTTGAGCACCCACTTACTGTGCCTTTGTTCACTGGCTCCTTGGTGAAGTGCCCTGAGAATAACTTAACTTAATCGCGTGCTATAGATTCTCTTGCCAATCAGCATTTCTTCCCTTAATTGCATCTTTGATTAGGAATTCCTCCTGCTGATAAACAATAGCTTAACATGAAAAATTGTAAGGCAAGGAGTAAGATTTAAAGGAAAAATCCTTCTGGACCTCTCAGGTAGAAAACAGCTCCTGGGAAAGGTGTATAAGAAAGTTCTCCATAAGAACCGTGCTGATGAAAATCAGCTCTAGTATATGAAATGATGGCTACCTCTTAGGAGGTACCCAGTCCTCAGGAATGCCTCTGTGTATACTCTGCCTGACTATTTCCGTCTCTCTGTCTATCTCTCTGTCTCTATATGTCTGTCTCTTCTCTCTGTCTGTCTTTGTCTTTCTTTGTTTCTGTCTCCATCTCTGTCTCTCTCTCAGGAAGGGACCTGCAGGATCATTTTGTCTGACTCCCTCAGGTCATAGATGAGGAGACTGTGGGCCAGAGATGTGACATGATTTGCCTGAAGTACCACAGGCAGTAACTGGGAGAGATGGGATTGCAATCTTGGCCCTCAGACTCCACATTCAGGGCTCTGCAGGCAGAGCTCTGCTTTGCTGCCATGCCTTGTGACTTCACCTGGCCCAAATGGTTGCAGAAACCAGGTCCGTCCCCGTCCTGATGGGTTCGTGGAGGGCTGGGTGGGGTGCACGGCTCGACTCGTTTTCACGTCTCCGTTTTGGTCCTCGACAGTGGGGATGACCACCACGGGAATGACGGTGCATTGCTCCAGCGTCCCATCGGAGGACATCACTTCTGTGTATCCCTCTTCACAGCCACAAGCTCGAGTCTGCAGGAGAACAGTGGGCTTTACACTGCGTATGCACGGATGGGAGGGATTGCAAACAGGAACCAGTGGACAGATACCCCAGACTGCTTTTCATGCAAGATCTACTTTCACTGGATCAAAGCTGACTTTGAAGATGCATGCTGGTTTGGTACTGAGACAATGGACAGGTTAGTGACTGGACTCCTCCTGCCTAGAGTTAATCGAGGAGAATGTGCCCATTTGGACAATGCCTCAGAGCACTGGAGCTGCCATTATAAGTGGTGAAAAGATAACTCGGCAAATAAAATCTGGATGTTTTCATGCCTTAGTCTAACTATTAAAAAAGAAAGATTCAGGGTATGTGAGCCATGCTCCAATAGGGGTATAGAAGGTAGAGGCAGAGGCAAGGTCTAGGCTGGAGTTGAACTGCCTGCTCCCAGGGGATGTCACCTACCTCACTGCAGTAGGAATGAGGCTGGCTGCAGGGGGGGTTACATGACCTGTCAGACTCAGGCTGGCGCGTCACCAGGCAGCCCCCTGCAGAACACAAAATCACAATGTGACACACAGCAGCTTCCATCCAGAGCCATCGATGGCCGTGGGCTTGAATGTTTGCTCTCCAATGACTGAGGCTGAGCTAACCCTGCTGAGATGATGCTCAGGCTCAGGGGAGGCAGAGGGGAGGCTTAGCCCTGAAGCTGCAAGCTAGCATCTGTTCCACGGCCACTGTTACTTGAGAACTATTCCGAAGACAGACTGTGGATGAGGCAATGATCGAGGCAATGCCATTATTAATCTCCAAGTCTAACCTTGTGAATATGTGACACATCCAGTCAGGAAACGTCAACAGTGTCTCTGGTTGTTCAAAGGTTTGGGGTCTATGGCATTGGGGCACCCCAGGACTCACATGACTGGCACTTAGAGCAGTTCTTTGCTCTTGCAATGGCTCTGTGATCTTCTCATTTTTGCTTCAAAGAATCCCTCACTTTCCTCAAAGCCCAGCTCAGGGGTCACCTCCAATGTGAAGCCCATCTGGATTCCTTGGGGGTGATCACTATTTCCCTCTTGAAATTACTTTCTAGTTAATACCTACTTATCTCCCTACACACTGTTTTCCACCAATAGAATGTAAGCTTCTTCAAGGTAGAGAATGTGTTCTTTTTCTTTTTTGTGTCCCTAGCTCCTAGCTCAGTGCCTTCTTTGAGTGTTGTGGGCACTCACTCACCATCAGCTGAACTATACTGAATTAAATCTCACTGACAGAGATCCACCCTTGAACTGTGTAAATTACAGCCACCCATGGCACAAGTGAGGGCTGCCCCCAAGTGATGTTCCCATTGCATGTTGGGAAAATCATGATGCTTATTTAGCCATGGAAATAAGCAGACCAAGATTCCACGGAGAGGGGCAGAAGTGTAAGTAGGGGTGCAGCTAGTTGGCACAGTGGATAGACTTCAGCCTTGGAATCAGGAGGACCTGAGTTCAAATCCAACCTCAGACACTTGACACTTACTAGCTGTGTGACCCTGGGCAAGTCACTTAACCCTGATTGCCTCACCAAAAAGCAAAAAAACAAACAACAAAAAAAGAAGTGTAAGCTCTAAACCAGCAAGAAGGTGGTGCCCCTGACTTGGAATAGCTGGAGACTTTCAACCTCGCCCTTGTTTTCTCTAACTTCTCTTCCTGTGGTCTTGGGGGATGCCCTTTCAGAGTTACGACCAAGTGGAGTTTGTGATGAGAACAGATGTCATAAAGTAATTACATTGATGAGGTGGAGACGTTAAAGAGTCTTCTCCCTGCGAAGTCTGGATTTCAGCACTGTGATGTTGGAAAAAAGAATTCCATCTGTCTTCTCTCTTTCCCTCTCCTCCCCCAGCAGCTATGAGGACATTCTCTCTAAGACTACCTTCCATTTACTCTGTATGTAACTTGGACATAACTAGTTTTCTTTTTACATGTTGTCTTCTCCATTCAGTTTTGAGCTCCTTCTGGGCAGAGACTGGTTTTTGCCTTTGTCACCTCAGTGCTTAGCACAGAGGCTGGCATATAGTAACCCCTTAATTAAAGTTTACTGACTGATGACTGACTGATTGTGAATATTGACAACATTTTCCAGTTGCTTTGAAGGCTGGCTCTGGGTCCTCCTTACCAGCAGCATCAGAGCCCAAGTTCTCATGGTGATGAATTTTAACTTGGTCAGTAATCACTAGGCAACTGAAGTTAGAAGTTTCTATTTAGATGTTCATTAGAGTTTTTAAGTCTAAATGCAAAACAAAAATAATTCTTCCAAGGGCTTATGAGGATCGCTATCCAGAAAAACTAGTACCAGGGGTTAGGAGGCCTGTGTTTGTCCATCTTTCTAAAAAATGGATGAAATAGTTGGCTGAACATCAATGCCCAAACCGCCCAGAGAGAGCTCCAGTGGAGCATGGGTTCAGTGTAGACAGAAGCCGTTATGCCCAGGTTCTCATGGGTTTATTTCTGCTGACACAAGCATGGCCCATTTTATCACAGAGTACTCTTCTGGGGAACCCTGCCAGCCACAAATCATTTCCCGACTCCATTTTAAGGGAAGTGTTGACCTGATTATGCCTTCTATTGGCCTGATATCATTGGGCTGTGGCTACTGATGAAGACAAGTTATGATTGAGCAGGTACAGAGGGCCATCACCAATCACCATTATTTTCCATATGTGCATTATGTACATAGTTAATTAATCATCATAGTATCAGGAAAAAATACAAGATGAGGACTGCCAATCTAGGTCATGACACTCTCACAGAACAGAAAAGAAAGTCCTCTTATTCCCACAGGTTCTCAGTCATGCTTCTGTCTATATTTTAGGATTGCATCTTTCATCATGATTAGGGTTAGGTCTACAGGGAGAAGAAGGTAGCAGGATCTGGGCCCATCTTTTGAAAAAAACGACCTTAGCAACCAACAGCATGGGCTGTGAGATACCACCAATTCTGCTCTGGAGATTTAAAATAAGATCCTTGACTGTTTCTTTTCTGAGGCTCTGGTCTTGCCAACATGAGGAGATAGGCAAATGTTTCTCCATTCCTGATTCCTTGGTGGCATTGGGGGCAAACCTTTCACTAGGACCTGGCATACTGAGTGAGCCAAGGTTTTGCTGGAAGGTGCCAGATCTTTGCCTCCCTTCAGCCTGGGGCATGGAACCCTGAGCCCCCTCTGGAAAACTTTCTCTGCCCAAGGATGAAAACTGGCAACTTGCCAACTTCCAGGGAAGGAAACAAGGAGTTTTTCATGCTGCAGGGGGACCAGTGGGGCCAGTGACCACTCTTCTCCTCAATAGTGTATCATTGGGCTAGAGATTCTTGTCAACTGGAATCCAAGAGTCTTGGGGAGTCTGGAGAGCTTTGGGGCTAGTCTCCCAGGCGGGGCAAACTCCTGACTGATATGGTTCCTGAATTTCTAGGGGTAAGTGGTCATCTGAACATTTTCTCCATTAAAACTCTCCCATTTTATTCTTCTAAATATCTTCATGGGATATGTAGTAGATAAAAGGCCAACTTCAGAATCAGAAAGACCTAGACTTTCCATACACACATTTGCTGTGTGATCTTGGTCAAGTCTCTTAACTTCTCTGAACTTCAGTCAACTCTAAAGCTATACTAGTCGGGGGGGGGCAGCTGCCACTTGCATCATCTGAGGCAGCATCTACCCCAGGAACTCCCTACACCAATGAAATCACAGGTCCAGGGCAAAAGTTCTGTAAACTTAAAAAAATGTAATATCACTTTCTGAAAAAGGGCTCAAAGGAGAATGATCTTTTAATTAATTATTTAATCAATTAATTAAATCCCAATTGGACACATGGGGAAGAATTAGCAACCATATAAGGGAGAACAGAATAGTGAATCTGAAGAAGGAAATGATGTGCCACAAAGGGGGCCAGGAATCTGAAGGTACTGATGCTTAGCTTGGACAGTCAGACCCATGGGCTTCTTTCCTCAGGTGTTGGTTGAACCCAGTCCATGAGTTTCATGAGGAACAGGGAAGCCTGTGGCCTGTGACCCGTGACCCTGCTTCTAGTGGAACAAAGGGAAGTGAGAGGTTTACCTGTAACATTTAGACCGTCCGATCTTTGACACCAGACTGTCCGAGAAGACCCTTTCCATGCACTGGCCATCCACTTATATTCATAGCACTGGCCATCTGGGAGGACAGAATCAAGCAGTCAGTATCAATCAACAAGAATTTATTAGCCACCTGCTATGTCAGGCCCTGCATTAGGTTCTGGGGATACAGAGACAACAGGAAAAAAAGTCCTTGTCCTTAATCCTACATTCACCTGGGGTAATGTTGATGTATACAGATAAGAATATATTTTAATTAGTCATTAAGCTTTTATTAAGCATCTACTGTATGTCTGGCTCTGTGCTAAGTACTGGGCATTCACACAAACCACTGCCAGAACTACTGCCACCAATAACAACAACAAAAGAGCCCCTGCCCTCAAGATGATTGCATTCTACTGGGATAAGACAACATATAAACAGACACATACACATCAATCAATCAAGAAACATTCATTAAATGTCTGCTAGGGGGCAGGTATTATGCTATGTGCTGGTGACAAAAAGAAAGAAATGAAACTACCCTTGTCTCCAGGATTCTGTCCATTCCAGTAGAACAAATGGAGGGGCAGCTAGGTGGTGCCCTGGATAGACCACTAGACCTGGAGTCAGGAGGACCTGAGTTCAAATCTGGCCTCAGACACATAACACTCACTAGCTATGTGACTTTGGGCAAGTCACTTAACCCCAATTGCTTCACCAAAAAAAAGAAAAAAATAGAAAAAATGGCAACAGAAATATCCCACTCTTAGGGAAGGACAAATCCTATTATACAGAGTCCTCTGTTGCTCACTTTCTGTCTTCTTCCTCTGTGTTGGTGGTTACTTCCCTCCACCTTCTGCTCCAGGGCTAGGCTAAAAAGCTGCCTCAGTCTCCTTAATGTTGGGGGATTTAATATTCAGTGGCATGAGTCCTTGCCCTAAGTAGCCTCCGATGAAACAGGACTGACACCAGCCAGGTTTAGTCCTTTCTGCAGCCTTGGGGATCTCTAACCCAGAGGCTGCTCCATGAAGAAGGATTCTTCCCTGTCCCCTCGAGGTGTGTTGTTGAAGTCTCTGCAGTCGGAGTCTGGTATAGGCCTCAGCACAAACCGCTGGGTTGGTTTATGGTCATATCCTCTAGTCACACCCTTCCTAGAGCATGGAGACTAATGGGGGAGGGGTGCAGAATGAGAACTGGAAGGATGAGCAATCTCTGGTGTTAATTCATGGTGATTTGACTCTGCTGGGGCTCTTGTTTTCATCCTGTGCATTCAGCTGTGTTGCTCTATAGCTGGTGCATAACTGTTATTTAGGGAATGTTTCTGAGAGTTAGTAAGAACTGAGGAAGCATCTAGTCTGCCATTTTGTTGGTCCCATGACCCAGAAATTCTGCCTTATGAAATTCTAGACACCCTTTAGAGTCCAAATCAATGCTGCTCTATCTGTGGTGTTTCCCTTATGCACCCTCTTGGCGCCCTGTACTTTAGATCTCCTCTCACCTGCCAGGGTGGAGTTCTCTTTAAGACATTCACCAGGTCTATGGCTTATTCCTTCCCCTCCAAGACTGTGTACCCCATGAAGGCAGGGACTGTGGTTAATCTATCTAAATCAGCAGCAGTTGCTGAACAAGGGCTGTGTTGGGACAGTTTCCTCCTTAAGGCCGACACTCACCATCACAGGCTTTGGTTTCTAACGTTTGTTCTGGACAAAGATGCTGATTATCTAGTTCTTGGATGATTACGGCTCGAGATCGGACCTGGATCCCTCCAAAGCCAAGATCTTCTCCATTGACACAGGTCAACTGGCACAGGCTCCAAGTTGACCATTCTTTCAAATAACAGTCACCTGTCAAAACACAAAGTTACAGAACATAAACAAAGCAACATACACATGGATGCATGTCTGCGGGTGTTGGTGGGAGAGAGATGGAGAGATAGGAGAGAGACAGACAGAGAGAGAGAGACAGAGAGAGACAGAGACAGAGAGACAGAGAGATACACAGAGAGAGAATATAGTATAACTCCTCATTCATCTTTTATTTCCTCTAATTCTTTCCTTTCCCAATTTAGGAAATGTTTTTAAGGTGAATTATTTATTGAAATATTTATATATTTATGCATTGTAAAGCATTGTAATAAGAGCAAGGAATAACAGGTGACATCATCATCATCATCACCATTATCACCACCTATATTGCTTCCCAAAGCAAAAGTAGGTTGAAGGTCTATACCACTGAGATTATCCAGTATAACCCAAAGTGGGTCACACTGGACAGAGCCTATGAAATGGACACTATTTGAGACTGGGATAAAAAAAAATCCCACCATAGATGACATCTATATGAACTCAGTACAATTAGTGAAGCCCTGTACAAATGGTTGGGTTATGTGGATTGGTTTATAGAAATCAAGGGGATTATGCCAACAGGCCAGAATCACGCCATAGCATCAGAAACTATAAAGTTATCCTTGAGAAGCCCATATTTAGTCATCAGGGTAAATTCTGGCACCTTCCGAATGCCAAGCCCAGCACTTGCTCTACCAGGCATCATATTGCCTCTTAAATAATCCCAAGAGGGCATCTCTTCCACTTTGGTAAATTGTTTTGCAGAGTTTGGAAAGTTCTTTAATAGGCCCTTTCATTTGATCCTCACGGCCCTCCTGAGAGAGTGGAAGTGCAGATATCATTTCCTTTGATTTACAAATGAAGAAAGTGAATGTAAGTGAAATCAATTCCCCAGATACTCCTTTATAGTGGTGACTACACTGTTCCTTCCCCAGTCATCATTCTAAATGAAGTTCATTAAGCCTAGGGCCCTGCACATAGTAGGCATTTAATTGAAATCCATGGTTGTTGGTGTTCAGCTGTTTCAGTCTTATCTGACTCTGTGACCCCATTTGAGGTTTCCTTGGCAGAGAGACTGGAGTGGTTTGCCTTTTCCTTCTCCAGTTCATTTTGCAGATGAGGAAACTGAGGCAAACAGGTTTAAGTGCTTGCCCAGGGTCATATAGCAAGTAAATATCTGAAACTGGATTTGAAATCAGAAGATAAGTCTTCCTGACTCCAGGCCTGGCAATCTATCCACTTTACCATGAAGTCTATGGTATTGTATCATATTGTCAGCATGAGGTGCTAGTTTAGGTAAAATCCAAGGGAAAACAAAGAGACCTAGGCTCCTTCCAGGAGCCAACCACATCAGCTTGAGTTGACTATCTAAGATGAGGGAAACGCAGGCTCATATCTTGTACTGATACAGCAGGAATGAGGGTGGACACTACTCCCTCAGAGAAATCACACAGAAGTTAGAAGAGTATGTCCCCAGCCTGACCCACTGAAGAGGCCAGCCTAGAAGGCTGCTTTAGTGCTGGCAGGGTCAGCAGTTGGTCACTCGAGGCTACCATGTTGTTTGCCTTATCGATTTGTCTGAATCCAGCCCAATATGGGGTTTGGGATGGGTTGGTAGGGATTATTATACCCTCAGGCCATATGCTTGATTGCCCCACACAGGGTGCTTGTGCTGGAGACAAAAGGAGGAGGTCTTAATATGGAGGGATTTGATTTGTTCTATAAAATTGTAGTATCATAGATTTAGAGATAGAAGGGACCTTATAGGCTTTCTAGTCCAAACTGTTTGTTTTACAAATGAGGAAACTGAGGCTCAGTAGATTAAGTGACTTGGGGTCAGTATAGGTCATAGCATAGAAGGCAGGATTAAAACCCAGGGCCTTTGGCTCCAGAACCAGTGCTCTTTCTTCTGTACTATGTTGCCTCAAATTTGATCTATCTCAAGGTCTGAAGGGTGCTGTTGAGTCCAGGATGGCCCAGGAAGCTATGTCTAGAAAATTCTGTTGTTTACAATAGTCAAAGCAATAGTGCTTGTGTGTTCATTTATACACACTCATACACATGTGGATCCTTCCCTTCCACTGATGACCACTTTTCTTCTAATGTCTCCTTAGGATGTGAGTTTACCCAGGCTTCCTGGAGCACATGCCAGCACAGTCAAGCTCTGGGCAGTCTTGCCTAGCTGGAAAGACTTCAGAGATGGCCAGATGGCAACCTGTGTCTGCTTTCTGAAGACCTGCTCACCTGAGTGTGTCCATCTCACTTTCATTATTTCAGTTATGGGCACACTGGTGATTCAAGCCTCCTTGTACCATATGAAGGTGGCTGAGATTGTGCCCTGCTGTCTGCTGATGAGTGTCCTGTGCTGCTACCACATAGAACAAACTGCACATTTTGGAACATGGCCAATGTGAGAATTTGTCTTTCTTGACTATGGTTATATGTAACAAGTCCATCCCCCCAGTAAAGGGAGGCTGGTAGGAAGAAAAAAATAAATACTTGATAATTGAAAAAAAAGTAAAATACATTAAAAACAAAAGCAAAGAGAGACATCAAGCCATGGTGTGTTTCTGGTTAAGAAGACCATGTGAAGGGGAATGTGGATGTGATTTCTGGAAGTCTTCACTGGGTCTGGAGAACACTTCATAGACAATGGGCTCTAGTGCATGTTCATCATGTCATGGCTCAGGAAAAAAGGAACAACCCATCATGAATAAATAAGAGAAGCCTATGTCAAATTGGAAAAACATATCTGGGAAGCTAATGCTAACCATGTCCCAACATGACAGGTTTCTTATCCATAAAATGAGGCCATTGCACAGGTGATCTCTGAGACCAGTCCTAGCTCCTAAAGCCCATGCATCTAGCATTATCTTGTCTTTGTTACCAGGGCAAGGCTGCGTGCAGGTTTCCTCAAGCACCATCTTCTTATTTCCATCCACCACGGGGTCTATTTCTGCACAAAATTCCTCATCCACAATCTTGCCAAGATCCTCTGCTGATCCATCGCTCACTATGCAAGACACATTTCTGGTTTTAGTCCCCTCTCCACAGTGAGCATCCTAGAAAGGAGGAAGAAAGAAGAAATTAGATGAAAAAGAAAAAAACAACAACAACACACCTTTTCTTACTGGTCCCATGGTCCTAAGTCATCTCCTTCTTTTGGATTCCAAGCAATACATGTAGAGAGTGAGATGCTATCCTGAGTTCAGCACCAGGGAGAGCGTTCAGACTAAGCCCTCATTTTTGCAAGTTAATTCTCATCAAAATGATTCTCCAAATCTTTGAATGAGTATAGCACAAGAGGAGTTCAACTTCAGGGTTAATTAACTGGTTGTTCTATGGCCAAACACTTAAAATCATAGGGTCATAGGTTTAGAGCTGAAAGGGAATCCAGAGGCCATCCAATCCAAGCCCCTGATTTTACAGAAAAGGAAACTGAGGCTCAGAGAGGTAAAGTCTGACCCAAGGTGATATGGGGAGTGAGAAATAGAGACAGGATTTGTACTCAGGGCCTGCCTCTAAAGGCAGCCCCTGTTCCACTTTTCCACATTGCTAATGTGTCACCTGTATACTGCCAAATTCCAGTTGCAGGGTCCCTTTAGGTAATATGCACCTGCCCCCATCCCACCTCCTCCAGGCATTTACCTCTACTCTGCAGTTTGACCACTGGCCATATTGCCATTGATAACAGGGCTTCACTAAGCAAGGTTTGAATTGTTCCATCAGTGCAGGACAAGGTCTGCCATCTCCCTGGAAGGGCTGAATTACTGTTCGCCTTCGGATCATTTTTCCTTCGAAAGACACAAAGTTGGCAACTTAATGATAATAACCAATACTTCTGTAATGATTTAAAGTTGGCAAAGCCCTTTACACCCATGACCTCATTTCTGTGATCTGTGATAGTCCTGTGATCTGGGGTCGACAGGTATTTAATTTCCATTTTAAAGGCAAGGAGACAAGATCAGAGCTATTAAGTGAGTGTCCATGGATAACAACTGGTAACTGTCAGAGGCGGGATCTGAGCCCAATTCTTTCTCATTCCAGTTCTAGCTCTATCCAACAGGATGCACTGACTTTCTCGAGTCAGTGACACACAGTGACTTTCTAGCTGGCTAAAACTTCAGGCCTCCCAAGTATGGAGATCAGGAAAGGCTTCTTGCATAAGGGAGTTCTTCAGTTCTGCAGGCCTGACAGCTGAGGGGGCACCAACCTGTCAGGCCACATGTGTGAGTGCACTCTGACCAGGGTGACCAGTCAGAAAGCTGACAGTTGACAGGGCATTCCACCACACAGGACATGTTCATTTGCCAGGTCTTCTCCAGTCTGAGCTGAAAAAAAAACAAGTGCCCACAAATTAGTGATGAGTATTTCACATTGAGTGTTATACAGTCCCATCCTTGATGAGGCTGAAGAGAGACACTGAGCAAAACCTAGCACATCCCCCCTTCCTTCTGGCTCCCAAAGGAGAAAGAGGACTCAGGGACATTTCCTGGGCAAATTCTGTTGCTGGGGTAGACAGAAGAGGGTGACCATGAACACCATGTAGAATTACATCTTCAAACCTGGAGGCAGAGAATCAGAGCGCACTGTATATAGATTACTAGGCATTTCCCAGGTATTTCAGGAATTATGGCAACTCTAAAGATGCTGCCTCTTTGTGTTTTCCTTATCAATGTTCCATTCTGTGGTTTCATGGTTTTCTCCCTGTGATGACACAGTGGTGAAGTCCTTCAGTGCATGATCCTTGACTCAGAGGACAATGGTGAGGGGGCCAGGCTCACATTCCATCTCCCCCTCCCATTAGATAGAAGAGGAAGTGGGATGAGCAGCCCCAGGGAGCCAGAGGCAAGGTGGCTGCAGACAGAGCTGCAGAGAAGCTCCCTGCCCTGAGAGACGAGGGAGCGTTAGATTTGATGAATGATAGAGAGCCAGTGGAGACATCATTGCTCTGTGTCCTGCAGAAAGCCAATCGATAGGTTATTCAAACATTGTGACTTTGACTAATGGGCGGTTGAGAATAAGCTGAGCCAGAGCAGGGGAACAGGCTGAGGGAGACACATCTGTGTGAACACACCGGGAAATGCTGGCAGCTCCATTGTTGGTGTTTCATTACCTGGGATCCCGAGGCTTATTTATATTTATTTATATTCTTAGAGGAAAGGCACTCTAACTTTCCTGCTTTACTCTCAGGCACCAGCATATATCTTTAGCAATGAAATGGTACAGAGGTGAAGTGGCACATCCCTGATGCTCCAAGCTTTCTCTTCATGCTAGTACCATCAGGCCCTTGGCATCACCCCAAACTCAAGCTCTTGACTACAGGTCAAGAAATGGTGGAGGAGAGGCTAAGCAGCTTCCTGGGATTTACCCTGTTCCTTTATTCTCCAGAGAAGACAGAAATAGCATACTTGCAAAAATGCATGAGGATTCCAAACTCACCTTTGTCCAATGCATCTTATTGGGCCAAAGGTGAGAGGCTAAACAATTATGACATGATTGGTATAATGGATAGAGTACTAACTGTGGAGTCAGAAAGCCCTGGGTTTAAATGCTGCCTCCAACTTTTGCTAGCTATGTGACCTAGGGCAAGTCACTTAACCTCTCCTAGTATCGATTTTCTCATCAGTAAAATGGGGATAATTCTTATAGCATCTTCCTCATAAAATTGTGAGGCTCAAAAGAGATGATATATGTGGAATGCTTTGGAAACTTTAAAGCACAAGTGAAATGCCCCTTATTGGTCCTACTGTGTGCAAAGCACTAATGAAATGCCCCTTAGTACTCCTGTGTACATAGCACTTATGAAATGTCCCTTATTGGTACTACTGTGTGCAAAGCACTCCCTTCTCAACAAACCTGTAAAGCAGGCAGGGCAAAAGTCATTATCCCCATTTTATATATGAAGCAACCGAGGCACAGAGAGGTGAAGTGACTTGTTTAAGGTCACAGTAATTAGGAGCTACTCCAAGGCCTGGCAAAAGTCTTCTGCCTCCATTTCTTTGGGTTTTCTTATTGTGTCAATCCACTTCTTTTAGACAAGATTATCTTTGCCATTGGACAAAAAGCTTTATCATAGTCATGGCATAACCTGAGAATGTCATCATCAGGTAAAAGGTATTGAGCAAATGTGTGTCTTTGTGTGCTGAAAATGATGAGCCCAAGTTTCTGAGGCCTGCAGCCAGCAGCTTTATCTCATGTTTAAGAACAGCATCGGGCAACCTTAAGGGCTCTCTCAGGACCTTGGTTTTAAAAGGGGCTCAGAAAGCAAGGAGAGTTCCAGAAAAGGACGTTGGAAATCATTCCAATGATGTGACCCAAGAAGGGCAAGATTTCTTCTGTGAAAAATACTGTTCCCAATGGTGAGTTAATTATATGAGATTTGGCCAAAATTCTGCTTCAGATGTATCTCATAGTGTAAATGTGTTGAGCCAAGGTGTTTGTAACTCATATGAGTTTCTTTGAACTGAACTGACAGGATGGGATTACTGATTCCATTAATCATCATCAGAAACTTTCATCATTTACAGCTTGAGGAGCTACTGCATTCTGGGTTTGTGCTTAGGTCTCTATGGTCTTTGCATGTTCCCCCCCCCCCCCCGCAGACAACAAATCCCTTATAATTGGGAATGCTAATAATAAAAATACCATCCATTTATATAATCCTCTAAGGTTTGCAATGCATTCTTTGTTCAAGGGAAAATGGGGCAGAACAACACCCAGGTATCAGTTGTGTTAATGTTTGAAAAGGTCTATGAATGTTGAGGTAACATTACATGCTGTTAACCTTCATTTTCCTCCATGTTGGGGATCAAGCCCATCATTTTTCAGGTGACTGGAGAAACAGCAGGAGTTAGCTACTGTGGCTGGCTTGAGAATAGGTCTCTGCAGAAGGCAAGCAATCAAGTCTTTGGAAGTGCATGAGTGTGTGTGTGTGTGTGTGTGTGTGTGTGTGTGTGTGTGTGTGAGAGAGAGAGAGAGAGAGAGAGAGAGAGAGAGAGAGAGAGATGCCCTTGTGTGTACATGTGCATATATATACATGTGCAGGTGTGTGGTCTATTTCTCCCCTGAACTGTTGTTTAATCCTTCATTACAAGCTCTGATGGACAAATGGAATGTGTGCTGTCTAATTCCATCTCCCAGATGACCCCTGCCTTTACTACAATGATACAAAAAGCATAACTCAAAATTATCTGACTTAGGTCTCATAGCTCATATTTGTTGATTTTGCTGACTTGTTTTTTCTTTTCTACTTTTAATTCTTTGTTATGTGGGATGGCTCTCTGAGAAGAAGAAGGATACACTACCAGCAAATATAAGTGTGGTAGAGATAAAAGATTCCAATAACATTATTTAAAGAAGATTGTCACTAAATAAATGTTATTGCTACAATTTAGTTCAGTAGTTAAAGGACTTGGGATTTCATCTGGGTGGCTATTGCCTCCATCAAAGCCGATTACAACCCTTAGAACGCCTTGGAAGACATGACAGTTTCATGAGTTGCGATGGCCAAAATAAATACATTCCAGTTCTGGTGAGCAGCCTCCTGAAATTAGCCCAGTTACTCTTTTGGTGTACCTATGCTTTGGAAAAAATTGCCATAGCTAGGGACTCCCTGGTAGAATTTTTCAGAGTCTTGGCTGACTGCTTGGCACATAGTAGGCACTCAAATGATGACCGATTGACTGAACCACCTTCATACCATGATGAGGCATTGGAGGTGGACTTTAATTATCAATCAGACAGTCTTCTAGGGATTTAATAATTCTTTCTGAAGTTGTCATTCCATTTGTTTAAGTAATAGGGACTTGGAATAACATTTGCATTTAGAAATGTCAATAGTTTAATGTGATGGGGTAGAAAGCATGCTGGATTTGGAATCAGAGGGGTAGGGTTCAAATCCTGACTTTGCCACTTGTGTGGCCTTGGGAAAATCACTTAACCTGTCTGAGCCTCAATTTTCTTCTCTGTAAAATGGATGGGTTGGAATAGATGATCTTTAGAATTCTTTCTGGCTCTAAATATGATCCTAAGATTCTCAGACATGTAAGGCATGTCTTCTTCCAAGCAGGTAAAGTCTAGACATCATTCACTTTAGAAGTCATTCCTTCTTTATTAAAATTAAGAAAGGTAAACAGCTGTATTTGCACGTGCCTCAAAAATTCATATTTCAAGATGAAAACATGGCTTTCACAAACAGAGAAGCCAGGAGGTAGGGAGTGTCTGCCTATGCCTTCTTGGTGCCGACAGCTGACTCAATTTCTTGGTTCAAGTTCTGAATTATTTTGGCCAGATGAGAAGACCTAGGGTCACATGGTTAGAAATTAGAAATTTGCACCTAATTGTACTTATATACCACATGTGATTAATGTTTAGCAACCCACAGTAAGCATGATTGACACTGGCGGGTGTCCCAGGCACTGCCCATGATTCCCATCCAATTAAAAACCAAATGAACTCCTGAGCAAGATTTACTGTTTTTATTCCTGTGATTGCTGATTGGTCCCCAAGCATTTTACTCAGAAGAGGCTCATTAGCATGTTGTTGAACCTCAGGCAAGAGAAACTAGAGGAAACGATGGGAAAAAATCAGTAGTGACAGGCACAGTCTTGTTCCAAGCAACATTTAATAGTCTGTGAATACCCTAGAAAAACATTTGTCAGCAAGGAACCGTGTGGAGTGCAGGTCACTTGGCTCAGCATGAACTGAGTTATTAGGGAAAAATATCCACCCACCTCTTCACAGTACTTCAGGTCAACGGATTTACCATCACTGCGAACACAATCCAGCATCCTCGTTTTGATGCCATTTCCACAAACTGCCTTCTCACTCAGCTGGCAAGTGCTCCAGTCTGCAGAGGGGAGAGCACATCAGCACACAAGGCCTCAAAGCAGATATCTAAGTAGGCTCTGGTGACCTGAAGCTCATGTTTCACTCTCGAGTGCTCCAGGGGCTTCTCAATCCACAACCTTGCATGATGCCAGCACCAAGGCCAGCGCTAGCACCACTGCACGGGGCCCAACCACAATGGGTCTATGTGTAAGGATGAGAAGGGGAGAGGGCTGTCACTGCCTGGATCTCCAAGGGTGGAAGGTATCTCAGCTCAATCGTGGGAGTAGTTTGCTTGACGATATGAACATTGAGCTAGAGAGCAAATGTCGTTTATCAAGTATTTCCTTGATAACAACAGTGACTTTCAGAATATTCTTTCTTTTTACCAGCTAATGAGAATCAGGGTCACATGGAGAGAGGGCCAAGCTCAGAGCCAGCATTAACTGCCTTTCAGGGCCCTTAAGCAACTCTTTAGACTTGTCAGTCTGCATTAGTTCAGGGCATTTCTGCAGAGAGAACTCATACTATAAAATTACAGGTCCACCTTTAAAGAATCAGAGAGAGAATGAAGGCATCACAGAATCATGGGATTTCAGATTTGGAAGGGACGTTGGAAGCCAATTATCCCAACTCATTCCTCAACAAGAATTCCTCCTACAATGAGATCAACACATGATTCTCCAGTCTCTGAAACCTTGGAGGGAAGGGGAGCCCACTCCCTCTGGAGGCAGCCCTATTCCACATTGGCATAGCCCTCAAGGTTAGAAGTGTTTCTTTCTACTCTCAAACACTAACAAAGATCTGTGATCTCAGGATTGTGGCCATTCCCTCATGTAATGCAGATTGCAGCCCACTCATGTCTGCCCATCCTGTGAGAATCTTGTCTACCTTCACTCTTCACTCCCAGTTCTATCATCTGGAGCAAAATAAACAAGCCAGACCCTTCTGCAAATCCTGGCAGACAGCGGATGTGACCCCTCTTTCTACATAATTTCATATTAATTCACACATATACATGTTGCTCTCCTCCCCTCCTCACCTCCCCCAACAGAATGGAAGCATTTTGTGCTCTATCTGTTCCCAGTGCCTAGCACACAATCAGGGCTTTATGAAAGCTTATAAGATTGAGTTCACAGCATCATAGATTTCGAGCGGGATGGGACCTCAGATGTCATCTACTCCAGCTCCCTCATGTTATTAAGTAGTTAGTGTAGATAATGAATTGATTAATTTATTTAGATGAGAGCTATAATTTCAATAGTACATAGAAGAGACCTTTTTCTCCCAATGTAGATCAGCACCTTCCCTGTAGTCTTAGAGAGTTTGCTGGGGGCAGGCCCTGGGGTAAGTAACTTCCTAGAGTCTCATAATCAGCAGGCATTAGAGGGAGAACATGAACCCAGGTCTTTCTGAGCCCATCTAGCAAACTCATCCCTTTCATTTTACAGATGAGGAAACTGAGACTCAGAGAAACTGATTGGCCCAAGGTCATAGCATCTAAGCCAGGATTCAAATCCATTTCTTCTGATACAACTCCAGATTGAATTGAAGTGTAGAGATTCCTTCGGGATTGTCCCTCTCTGTTCCATACCAGTGTTTAAGGAAGTATCCTTTCTTCTCACTCCTCTCAGAAACAGCAGGTTCCTGATGCCCCAGGATGCATGGCTACCATGCTCACTATGGCCAGGGGCTGAATCTAGGGTGAGCTGGGCTCTAGGATGTTATGACCTTCTGTGGCCTTTGGAAAGAGAGGGCCCTGTAGATCTCAGGGGACCAGTCTGGCACAGAGACTGTTTCCTTTTCTGAACCTTCCCCATGGGAGACAGAACATGTTGGGCATCATACTTAAGGCAATTTCAGGGTTCAAGGCAGTGAGGTTGTTTTCAAAGTCTTGTATCCACCTCAACTAACCAAGCTTCATGCAATGCAAACCAAGTGTGTCAAACCCTTTTGCAGAGAGCATTGCCTGCATTTAGCAAGGCCTTGTGGGCACTTGGCTCTCCAAGTGCTTCTGGCAAGGCCCGTTCCAGGTTGATGCAGTCCATTAACAGCCACTTATTTCATCACATACACCCTCCCGCTCACCTGTCACATTGTAGTCATAGTAGAAGCAGTTCTTATTTAGAATGCATGGCTCCTTCTCGGTGGTGTCAGGGCAGGGCTTCCCCTCATCTGCCTGCCTGAGTGGATCTGCCAACCTTTCCCGGAATGTGCTTTGATTGCAAGGCTTGGAGACAAGAAGAAGAGAAGGTCTGAGCACCATGACTTCCCACTCAGAATTGTTCCCTGTCCAAAGTGTTAGGACCCCTGGGTTCTAGTCCCAACTCCTCCTAACAACTAACAGGCTCTGTGATTTTGGGCACATTATTCTGCCTCTCTGGACCTCAGTTTCCTCATTTGTAAACTGAAAGTGTTGACTTAGGTGATCTCTTGAGGTGACCTTCAGCACTAGGAATTCAGAGGCTCCTTGGCTCTTAGGTTCTTCTCACCACATGGTGCAGACTCTACACAGCCATTATTGAATTCATTTTGAAAATCACTCAACATGGTGTAATAGGGGTGTCCTATACCTTCACTTCAATAATTACTTAATGTCTAGGCTTCTTGATTTAAACAACTAATCAGAGGTATGAGCTAGGTGTGAATAAGGTCTAAACTTCTCTATTGAATCAATCAGTCAACCAATTAATTAAAGGCACTTTAACAAGGTGTGGAAAAGGATTTGATCAATTTGGAAGGAGGGAAGACCATTGGATAAAGTAAATTGATGCCACCCAGGGTCCTATTGGTAATTGCTGAAGAAACCCTGCTTCCACCTAGGAGTTTTCAATAGAAGAGCAGGTGAGTTTGGAACCCAATCATTCAAACATCCAACAGGCTAGAGAAGAGGGCAGCTAGGTGGCAGCACAGGGGATAGAGTACTGGACCTAGAGTCAGGAAGACTCCTTTTCCTGAGTTCAAATCTGGCCTCAGACACTTACTAGCTGTATAACTCTAGGTAAGTCACTTCACCCTGTTTGCATCAGTTTCCTCATCTGTAAAATGAGCTGGAAAAGAAAATGGCATTCCACTCCAGTATCTCTGCCAAGAAAACCCCACATGGGGTCATGGAGAGTCAGACAGGACTAAAATCAACTAAACAACAAAAGGCTAGAAGAGAGCATGATCTAGTGAAGCCCCTGAGGAGGAATTTTTTGGTGGGCAGGGTGGGTGGGGAGTGACTCTGTCTCCTTTCTACCCTGCCCCATCCTCCTTGACATGTGGATAACTTTGAACATTGGAGGGTTGGATGATTTGGACTTTTCACCACATCCCAAGTCACATGCCTAGGACAGATCCTTGTCTGCATTGGGATCTGAGGACAGATGAGAAACACTGAGGACATGCAGCTTCCACACTCTACCAGAAGCCCAGCAGAAGGCTACACCACACCTCGGGAGAATGCCATGAACCACGTGAAGGGGAGGAAAGGGCTCTTATCAAGCAGGCACTGTGAGCTGTGTTCTCTACCCTAAACCCACTTTCCTCTTGACTCTGTTTGTCCTGGTGGGAGAAGGCACCAGAAGCTTTGGGCAGATGATTTTTATCAACTGTCCTTACTATACTGCCTTAGTAACTGCTACTTCTTAAAAGTTAATTAAGTCTGGTTGATTGACTGTTGGATAATCATGGAGGGGATGGGACAGAGCTGCTGGTGGGGCTTGTGAGCTAGAACATTAGAAAGATATGTCCTGAGTCCCTGAGGGGCAATAGTAGCTATCCTCTGGAAACCCAGCCTGCCAAGGTGAGCCCATATTGGGAGAGTAACTCAAGAGCACGTGCTATGATTGAAGACAAGCACAGTTGTTAAGACCTCAGCATTGGAGGGATCAGTCATCATCTAGTCCAACCCACCCCTAAAGAAGACCTCCTCTACAGTATCCCCAGCACAGGATCATTCAGCCTTTGCTTGAAGCCATCCAGGGATGGGAACCCACTGGTGCATTTGGGAGATCAGCCTCTGATCACAGGAAAAGACAGATGCCACAGGTCAGTGTACTTCCCTGACAATGTTAGAATGACAGTCTGTCCTTTCTCAGGCTTCACTACCAACTCACCTGTTACTGATGGCTGTATTGTGTCACTAATGACCCAATCATCTACTCCAAGAAGCAATCCTGTTGAAAATGACCATCCAGGTCCTGGGCTCTTTGGAAGAATCCCAACTGCCCACTGAGGTCTGAGATCAGCTATTCCTCTTCTCTGAAAATTCTACTCGTTTAGTTATTTCACCTTCATTTATATCTTCTAGAGCAAAGGGACTCATTTATTTTTGCTCCTGACATCCCACTTCCCACTTCCCACAGTGTCTGTGCAGAGCAGGAACTTAAAATTGGCTATTGAATAAAATGGAACTGAATTTAGCTGGAAGTCAGAGCACTTGAGAGTTAGGTGAATCAGACTGGAAAGAGCAGGTAGATTCAGAAGACTTGTTTCCTAATGGAAGAAATGGGTACAAAGATACGAAGCAGAGTGGGAAATGTTGTGCCCCACTGCACTTTTGTCCAATTCTGGAACTATACTCTTAGTCAAATATTCTCTGTTTCTGTTTGTCTCTGTCTGTCTCTTTCTCACACACATTTCTAGATTTCAATACAGAGTCCACTTTTAAACTCCATTATAGCAAGGGGATTTGGCCTATTCACAAATTAAGGGGTATAGTTATCTCCCATATACCTAGACTATTTTCTTTACCACCCACAGCAATTTCAAAATCTGGGGATGCAAAATAGATTTTCCTCCTAGTAAACATGCCCTAGGGCTGCTAGGTGGTGCTGCAGTGGATAGAGCACCAGGCCTGGGGTTGGGAAGATCTGAGTTCAAATCCAGCCTCAGAAACTTAGTAGCTGTGTGATCATGGGCAAGTCACCTCACCCCATTTGCCTCCATTTCCTCATCTTTAAAGCTAGCTGGAGAAGGAAATGGCAAACCCCTCCAGTATCTCTGCCAAGAAAACCCCAAATGAGGTCACAAAGAGTTGGACATGACTGGACCAGCTGAACAGCGACCATGCCCTGATGATAAATCTTGTCATCCATTTTCTGTGTTAGACCATTTAGTCTCCTACATTGCACACCAATTTCACATTTCTCTCTATAGTTTTGAAATGGGCATCCTTTGAAAGGCACCAGACTGAGTCACGTTTCCTATAACACAAACCAATTTTGTTGTAAGTGATCCCATTACTGGGATTCTGTGGGAAAGCCTTGCAGGCTGCTGAAGTCTTCCAGGCTGAGTAACTGAAAATTCTCGGTTGGGCTTCCAGGCACCAAAAAAGGCCTAGAGTTAATACGCAGAGAGGGGCTTACTGAGGCCTGTTCTCCTTTCCCATCGCTGCCTTCTAAACACTGATGCTCTCGATGAGAGATACCAGCTGTTGGGCAGTTTAGACCCGCCATCTACACAGAATGAATCGCATTCGAGGCTGATGAGAGCAGCTGTGTGACTGCCTCGTGGTTCCTCATCCTCCCACCTGCCTGCAGAGATTTCCTTTCACTGCTGCACAATTCTTAATCTGCCACCTACCGGCAGACAGGTCTACACTGTTCAAAGGAAGGTGAGAGCGACGCTCTGGGCCCCGCGTTGGGAGAGAGGGCAGGCAGGAGGGCACATGTGGGGAAGGACTGTGTGACTGTGTGTCCAAGCACAGGGAAGCTTGTTGTTGGCCTTAGGAGGAAGAATTGCATCCTGCAGATGGACGAGGAACCACCATGTTGGGGGCTGGAAAACTCCTGCTACCTGAATTCGTGCTGTGCACCTGCACCTGCACCTGCAGCCACAAGTGCCAGCTCTTTACCCAGCCTGAGGCAGGGGCAGCTTCAGGGCTACAAAGGTGAAAGGGTCAAGGGCCCCCTTACCAGTGAGCACCTGCTCCAGGGGCCCCACTCTGATGTAACACAGTCCTCGGGGCAGGGCAATTTGCACTCGCGAGAACCCAGGGGCATTTCCTCAGGGTCACAAAGATAGTCCTCCACCGGCTCGAAGGGGCCATCGGCGGTGTTCTGCAGGCATCTAGGAGGAAAGTGACATGTGAGCAGTCCAGGCGGCCTGTCTGCCAGCAAGCACAGGAATCAGGCCGAGACCTCTGCTCCTCTGACAGATCGTGCCAGAAGCCCTCAGGTGCACCCGGCACGTAGTAGGCACCTGCTAATTGCTGGCTGACTGGCTGATTCTCTTCTCCCCCATCGACCCTGGTTTTTGATTCTGGGCCCTTTGCTCCACTCACACAGCTTGCCCTGGGCAGGCTCTCCTCACCATTCACCTGCATTATTTTTTGTGGCAGGTGGTCTTCCTGCTCCAAGTCTCTCTCTACCCCTCCAGTCCATCCTTCGTTCAGCTGACAAAGTCATCTTTCTCAAGCGCTGTCTGACCTTGTCACTCCCTACTCTACCGACTTCAGCGGCTCCCCAGTGCCCCCAGGCTAAGCTCTTCCCTTTGGCCTTCACAGTCTGGGCCCAGATAAACGACCCACTGTCCACTGAAAACTCACTGAGCACAGACGAGCCCATGCAAGGCACACACACACACACACGCACATACATATATGTTTAAATATGAGTATTTAAAGGTAGACGTTCCATTATTTTTGCACAAGTCCATCTGCCATGCTCAAAACTCTTTTCATAGTAAACCAGAAAATGCTGGGGCAGGCCAGTCAATGGGACTGTCCTAGGCTGCTAATGATCAGAAGACCAGAGAATTTAGGGGTAGAAGACACCTCAGGAATCACCTTGTTCACACTCACTCCCATTTTATAGATGTAGAAACTGAGGCCCCAAGAGGGGAGTTTACTTATCCAAGGTCAGCACTAATGAAGAACTGGAATTAGAAGGCCAGGTACAGTAATAATAATCAGTACTGATTGCATTTATATAGGATTTTAAAGTTGGCAAAGCATTTTATAGCTGTGATTTCATGTGATCTTCACAATTATTCTGGGAAGTAGTCGCTATCTCTATCCCAATTCTGCAGATGAGAAGACTGAGACAGAGAGTGGTGCAGTGACTTGCCCAGGGTCACACAGCTACTAAGCATATGAGGCTAGATTTGAACTCGGGTCTCCCTGACTCCAGATTCTGTGTTCTATCTGCTGCTTCATAGAGCTGCCCCAGCACAATTTGGGCTATACAGGAAGAATGACCCCTCTAAACTCCCAAGTGCCCCAGGGCATGGCTATAATCCATGGTGGGAAGAGGGCTGGGGAAAGCCTCCTTTGCTCATTAGCAGCGTGGCCTTGGGCCAGTCACTTGACCAGTGGGGCTTCCCAGCCCCAGGAGGTCAGTGTTAAAGGCATTCCTCGGGTTAGGTGCTTTGCCTGGGGTCACGGAGCGAATTCCTGTATAAGAGGGGATTTGAACTCAGGTTCTCTTCCTTCCAGGTTCAATGCACTGTCACACTGTGTTGGGCTGTGTGGTCCGGAGTCGAAGCTTACTAAGTATTTATTGAGTAAACTGTACCATGCTCCAATATGCAAAATCTTATGATTCAGTGGTTTTCAATGAATTGTTTTTCCATATCGAAGATAGACTGAGAAGAAAGAGGATTAAGGAGACACAGTTGAGACAGCTCTGGACTCTGGGTTCAAATCTTACCTCCAAAGTTTACTTTCTATGTGACCTGGATGTGTCCCTCCATCTCCTTGTGCCTCCATTTCCTCAATGGTCAAATGGGGGGGGGGGTTGACACATCTCTGAGGTCGCTGCCCCTAGAGCTCCACGGTCCCATCCACTTCCTTAGTCCCTTTGGCATTTTACAAGTGCCATGTTTGTGGTTACTCCCTCCACCCTTGGGGGGAGCTGCTGTGACTCCTGGAGTCAACCTGCAGGGCTAGCTGTCTGCTACTCCCAAATCGGCAGGGCTGGCTTGGGCAGCATGGCTGGCCATCTGTCACCTTTGTGTGACCTGCCAGGACCCGTACTCCATGAGCAGGGGTGACCACCACATCAGAGGAGGGCTGAAGAGAACGCAGATCTGTCCCCCTGCCCATGACCTCCAGCCACTCTACTGACGCCATCCCTGACCGGACATGCACGCCCGACTGTGCCCTCTTCTGCCCCGATCTGTCAAGGACTGAAAGCCTCACAGTCACGGGCAGATGCTCTCAGAGTCCCTGGAACCCCAACTCCAGAAGGAAGGTCTGGCGGGGCAGCGGGGAACTGTAGGGAGCCGCCCTCTTGGGCATGCTGGGAGAAGATTCTTTGCCGAGGGCTTTACCTCACTTTCCGGGTCTGCACTCCTTCTCCACAGTTCTCCTTCATGTTCACCACAGTCACCTTGCAGACGCTCCAGGGCTCACTGACCCATATGTACTGGCTGCAGTCACTGTGACAGGGGACGACCTCATACACCTGGAACATAGGGGAAGCTCGGTGAGCGGGGCTTCCCGGCTTCCCCAGGGTGAGTGAGCAGGAAGCTGCAGCTGAGATGGGATTTCTGAGAGCAACAGGGGATGAGAATGCACCACTGCCTGTAACGAGGGATGAAGCAGCTAAGGTGGGAAGGAGAGAGAAGGGGAGATAGAGAGACAAAGAAACAGAGAGACAGAGACACAGAGAGACAGAGGTAGAGAAACACAGACACAGATGGGTGAGAAATAGATGTGGAGACAGAGAGGGGAGAAGAGAGAACACCCTGTCCCCCTCCCACCATGAGGCCAAAGCAGGGGGGGCAATGTGGTTCTGTTTAGCTGGGATGGATTTGAGTTACCAGCTTGGGGGTGTTCGTGGAATTATCCACATTTGCTGACAAAGGGTTTGTCTTGTACACTTTCCACATCTGGGCCACAACCAGACTTTGGTTATGAGTCGACCAACCTCTGCTAAGCTAAACGCTGAAGGCCTAACGATGCTGTCCCTAGAGGGCTGGCATTCCGGCTTCTTCTGGCTTCGAAGGCTGTCCTTTCTTCAGCTCCGCAGAGCTGCTGGACCATGAGGCAATGAGGGCTAAGGAGTTTTCCCCTCTCCACCAAAAGGCAAGGCAAGGTGGGGGGAGGCAAACTTCCTCCCCTACTTTCCCTCAGGTGGTAGGAAGCTTTCGTTGCCTGCCTCGGTTTCCCTGTCCCAGCATCCAAGGTGTCTGTGCTGCCGCCTGCCCGCACTGGGTGTCCATCGCTGTCCTCTGGGGATTGGTGGCTTGAACCCTATGCTTACTAAAGGGAACAGCGAGCAGGGAGTGGAAGTGTTGGTCCCAGAATTCCCTGCAACAGAATGGACCCCGAGACAGGAAATGCTGGGTTTGAGCCACGTGGGCTCCTTCTTTGGCAGCCTGCCACAGCCCGGTATGTGTGGGGGCTTCTGTCCTTGGGGAAGGCACTTGTTGACATGACAACATTACTAGTGAGAAACAAGCAAAAGCCTTTTACAGGTTCATTTGTGTGCACACACGAAGACCAAAGTCTAAAGGGAAGAGTAGGAAGTGGTCGTGACTCCACTGCATAGCCCAGACAGAGCCCAGTGGAGGCATAACCAGGGTGGGGCAAACAGAGCCTTGTCCCAGGGCGCCAAATTCAGAAGATGCTGAATTCAGAGCGGTCGACAGAACGCGCGTAATGAGGCAAGCTCCTCCCCTGCCCCACCCTGCACACTGCTCCCCCCACCCAAAATCGGCAATTACCCAGCCATTGCCCCAGTGGGCGCTTCCCATGATGCTCCCTTTCCCTGACCAGGAACCTCCCCGTCAGCAACCTTGAGCTGGTCTCTGGAGTTTCTGGATCTCCCACCTAACCTTTCAGACCAGAATGTGATGCTATTCATTTTACAGACTGGGTCCCCAGTTAGATGAAAGAAAACACAAAAGACAGAGACAGCTGTTTGTATTGGGCTTGAGGGAAGGGAGGATGCAATGAGCGCCTCATTCTGCTTCCTTCACCCACCTCCGACTGGGGCCAGACTACCTGGGACCCCCTCACACTCCTTCCTCCTCCAAGCTCCCCCAGCCCGCAGCAGCAGGCAGCAGGAGGACTGAGGTCGGAATAACTGAGGTGGTTTTTAGCCTCTTCCCCACCCCTGGTGTCAGTGTCACCAGCCTGCCCCCCACTCGCACCCCAAGACAGAAAGGAAAGAGCACAGCACCGGGACAAACATGCCAAGACTCAGAAAAGGGGAGAACGGAACAGGCAGCGGTCAGGCCCCTGCTCCAGAGACTCTTACCTGAGCCTGGGGGAGGCGATGTTGTTCAGCGAAGGGGGAAAAAATCAGAGACAGAGACACGTCAGTGAAGGAGCCATAGTAGGGGCTTAAAGTCAGACATAATGATGGCCTCTTACTTTTCTGTGACTTTCGCACAGTGTCTCATTTAAGCCTCATCAAAGCCCTACTAGACATTGCAAGTCCTATCCCCATTTTAGAGGTGAGAAAACTGAGACCCAGAGAGGCAAAGCAGCTTGCCTGAGAGTGTGGGTTCCTGCTCCTCTTCTCTATCCCTTTAGCCATGTGTGAATCATCTTCTCCTGATTCAGAAAGCGTTAAAAGTGGAGTGTAAACCTGGATCTCTCCTGACTCCCAGTCTCACACTCTTTCCTGCAACGCCAGCCTACAAGATGCATTAAACATCGTGGGGCTGGGGCTGGGTAGGGAGCAGTTTGCTTTGTTCATCAACAACCAGCACTCCAGTCCAGGCTCTGGAGGACAGCACCTGATGCTCGCTCCAAAGTCAGTTCCACTCCTGGCTATCAGCTACCCCAGGGAGTCTGGGTCACCAAGGAGAGAGACTGGCCCATGGAAGAGGAGGAGCAGCCTGAGAGCCGAGCCAAGGGCTCAGCACAAGGCAAGGGGGTGACCAGAGTGCCTAAAATCCCCACAGTAACCTGCATGTTCAGCCTGAGCTGCTGGCCAGTCCCAGGATGGGATTCCGACTCAGGAAATGAGAAGTTGCTGCCTGAGTGGGAAACCGGGCTCCCCACAGACCATTTCCGAGCAAAGTGGGCCTCAGAGTAGTTTGCTGAGGAATACGTAATTTTGGTACAAAGGTATCATTAGCAATTATAAATGTCAAGGCAGAAGGAAAGCAGATCTTTGCCAATGACTTCAAAAAATCATTTCCAATCGATTCTCCAAGTTACTCTTCTGATTTTACAAGAAACTTTAGGTATTTTGCTGCGGGAGGATTGTTCTAGTAACTATCAACAATTCTAACAACCATTATTTTCTGTGGCTAGTCTCTTGATGAGCTGGGATCGCATTCCATCGATATTGCCTTTAAAATAAGTGTCTGGCCAGGGGTCAAACAGCAGCTGGGCAAGGACGGATGGAAGGATGGATGGGCTAGGCGATTTTCCAGGGCAAGCATGCCATTGGATAATGGGGCAATGTTCTTAAGATCAAAGACTTAAAACTGTCGCTAGTCCGACCTCCTTAATTTACTGATGAGGCTGAGAGCATTGAATGAGTGACCCAGAGACACCTGGGGAGCATCAGAGCTGAGATTTGAACTCAGTACTTCTGATGCCACATCCAGTATTTCAAGTTTGTAGGTATATCTATGCTGCCTTCCTGCACATGGCTTTTATTTATCTGTCTGTGCTTGCGAATGCTCACACAAACAGACACTCTCACATACACACAGGGTTGACAGGACTCATTCCTCCTGCTGGGAGGCTCGCGTGGTAGTGGGAAGTATCTGAGGGTCTTGGGAGAGGCGGAAGGCATCTGGAAACACAGTAATGCCAGGGACACAGCCAGGGCCTCTCTCCGGCACTGATGGCTTATCTTGGTCGTCCTGCTTGGGACTGATGCTCTAAGCCCTGGCTCTAGGACAGAATGACTCCCCTTCATGGGGACTATCCCAAGACCCACCTATTCAGCTTTACTAATCTCCATGAAGATCTTAGAAAGGAGCCCAACCCTGTAAGAAATCAAGATGGCTATCAGCAGGTGGCAGCAGAGCTGCATCCCCAAACCAAAGGCTCCGTGTAGGGTTAGTGACCTCCGAAATTAAGGACTGACTTAGAGCGGGCACAGCAGCGAGGAGCAGCCGGGCTCCCTCTCCCCTGTGTCCCTTCGGGAGAAGGACGCCTTCCCCGTCCCCTTGTGCGCATCATTTCCCCTTGATTCCGTTCTATTAAGAGGCAGAGAGCAGCCCTGGAGGAAAGGGAGACAATGCCACAGGACCCATGGCGGGACGGTGACTCAAGGGAGGCTTGAAAGATTAGACTGTCCTGTCCTGCGCAATCGCCCAAAGTGTCTCAGATAACTCTCGCGATAGTTTTAGCTGGTTCTCTACCAGTTTACAGTGGAGTCCAGTAACAACTCAGTCAAACGTGTCCAGGACCATGCTGGCCATCAGCTTCGGATGGGGGCTGCTATTTTGTAGCAAGTAAAGAAGGTGGGGGGTAGGCTTCGCTGTGGAGGCCCAGCTGGATTCTGAGCAGACACCTAAAAACCCCGCTGGGGCATACACACCTGGTTAACGTGGTCCAGCTTAGGACAGGGGCGTCCGCCGTTGTATGGCTTCTCTCGAAGCCATTTGGAGCGAACCTTGACTCCGCTGCCGCAGGACTTGCTGCAGCGAGACCAGTTGGACCATTCGCTGAGTTTGCAGTCTGAGGGGCAGGGAATGATGCAGGCTTCCTCAATGTAACCTAAGCAGAGGGAAAGGAAACAAACACAAAAACCTTGTCTATTCAGCTTGACAATTTCTGACTAGCACGTTTAAAGGGCTCAGTGATTGACTGGACGGGAGCATGGAAATGCAGGGATTTCTTCATTTTTAACCTCAAATTAAAGTCTGTAGGAAAATGACACCGCCATGCAGAGACAGTGTTAAAATAACAGATGAGTGTCTGCAACACTGTCTGCTGAGGATTCGTGCCCACCAGATTCCAGCATCTCTGACTTTCTGACAGTTCACATTTACTTGACAATATCTTGTCTCCTAACATCCTATTCTCAAGCTACTGGAATGAGATGTTTTAGACCAAAATGTGCAGCCCATTTTACTCTGAAGTCCCATAAGGGCATGTCATCCAAGTCCAGGGCAGGCATATCTAGGCCCCAGGCTTTTTCGAGACAAGATGCCGGCAGATGCCAGTCACTATCCACAAAGACACATCTAGCCTAGCACCTCCTGGGTCCTTTCCCTAGACAGCCAAGACTTAAGAAAGAACATGGCAAAGCCAATTAATGGTGATACTATCTTCCGTGTTTTTAGCGCTGGTAACCTGTCTAAGCATGTGCACGACTCTCATTAATCAAAGGAGGAGTGATGGGAAGTGCTGATATTTACATAACGCTTGAAGGAGAACAAAGCCGGTAAGGTGCCTCCTCACATTGCTGCGTCACAATAACCTAGTTGAATCTGTGCTACTGGTATCAGTACTGGTATTTAACTGATGAGGAAACCTGAGGTGACAGCAGATGAAGTGGCTTATCCAGGATCACACTGCTCCTAAATATCAGAGGCAGCATTTGAATTCAGGTCTTCTGTGATTGAGGCCAGCTCTCTTTAGGATGAGAGGTTTAGGGCCAGAAGGGACTTTAGAGAGAATCTAGTGCAATCCTCTTATTTTATAGATGAGGAAGCCAGGACTCAGAGAAATAAAATGACCTACCTGAGGTCACATGAAAGCGTCCTAGAATCACAGAATTTCAGAGTTCAAAGATACTTCATTGGCTGGGGAGTCCAACCTATTCACAGATAGAATCCCCACTCCGAATCTGCTTTGTGTGCTCCTCCGGCCAGACCTCTGAAAGGAGGAGCCCACAACCCCTGGAGACAAATGATCCTACCTGGGGATGGTTCCTGGGGCTAGGAAGCTTTTCCGGACATCCAGCCACTGCTCACACCTACTGATCTTAGTTTGGTCCCCTGGGGCTAAATAGAGAAAGTCTTAATCCTTTCTCCAAAGCCAGCCCTCAAACACTTGGAGATAGATACCACATTTCCTCTTAGTCTCCTTTTCTCCAGGGCAAACACCTCCAGTTCCTGAAACCTCTCCTCACGTGATCTAGACCCAAGCACCTTTATCATCCTGGTTATCATGCTCTGGACACTCTGCAGCTATCCAAAGCCCTTAGCCAGTGGTGCTCAGCCCTGAACACCAATCTCCTAGATCTGATGAGAGCAGAGCACAGCCCCCTGGAGGGAACGTCCCTATCCTGATTCTGTAAGCGTTCCCCATTAGCTTCTTAATGAAGCTCAATGGTCCATTAGCTTTTTTTTTTTTTTGGCCACCACAGCATACTGATAAATCTTTGAGCTTGTAGATCACTAAAACCCCCAGATCTTTTTCTAGATCACTGCTGTCTAGACTTGCTGCCCCATCTTGGACTCAGGAGGTTGATTTCTGTTACTTGTATTTTCATTCATCCCTGCTGAATTTTATCTCCTTAGATTCAGCCAGATGCTCTGGCCTCTCATCCTGACTGTCTCCTCCAGTGTGCTGGCTGTCTCTTCCAGCTTTGTGTCAGTAGAAATCACAGTGTGCAGTCCTTTCTGTGAAGTTTTAAGATACAAATTTGTCAACCAAAGTGATGTCCTTCCAACCAGCCTCATTAAAGAACCTGTCCAGTAATCAAGAAAAAATAAAGCAGTTCTGCAGGACCCAAAGGCTGCTATACTTTCAGAGTACAGGACCCAGGCTCAGAGCACCTAGAGTCAGATTCTGACTTTGCCACTAGATGTATGAACCGAGGTCATTTCACCTAACTTTCAATTTCCTCATCTATAAAGTGGGCATGACGATTCTTAGACTATCTATATCCCAAGGCTTCTGGGAGAACAGTGGTTTTGAACTAATGAGAGCGCTGGAGAAATGTTAGAGAGCATTAAAGTCCAAGGCAGCCCAGCCCGGTGGGCACTGGTCACTCTCAGGCAAGCCTGACTGTCTCACATGAGATTTAGGAAGCCAGATCAACTCTAACTCAACAGGTTAAAATCCAAACAGGTGCAAATGAGACATCTAAAGGGAAGGAAAGGGGGAAGAGAGACTCTGGCTGAGCACCAATGCTGGCTTTTTCTATGGGTCACGCTTCAGCACCTGGCTCTTGTGTTTACTGGGCATCCCACAAAGCCCTTAGAGATGGGAGTGTGCCCTCTTAGAGGCACGGTCCTCTGCCTTTTCAGTGGAGCACAGTGGGAACTGTGGCTCTGGACTGACTCTGGTGTCAGACAACCTGGGTTCTAAATCCACTTATGAGAGTTACTCTGTGTGAGACCTTGGGCAAGTCATGTAATTTTCCCTGGGGTCAGTTTCCTCAACTGCAACACGGCACCTGGTGTGAGAATAGATAGAGCACTGACCTTAGAGTCAGGAAGACCTGAATTCAAAACCAGCCTCAGATATTTATAGGCTGTGTAACCCTGGGCAAGTCACTTAGCTGCTGTCTGCCTTGGTTTTCTCCTCTGTAAAATGGGAATGATAATAATAGGATCTAGTTCACCGGGCTGTTGTGAGGGTAAAATGAGATCGTAATTGTAAAGCACTTTGCAAACTTTAAAGGGCTACACAAATATGAGTTGTTGTTGTTAACATGAAGCAGGTATTGTACTAAGGGCATCTGAGGTCCCTTCCAGCTCTCCAGCCAAAAGGCACAGAAATGCTGGGAGTGTTTTTGAGGTCAAAGACAGCAGTGGGGGAGTTATTTGGGGTGGGATCAGAGGCAAGCGGTGACGTCCTGATGTGGCTGCTGACAAGCGCCCCGAGGGCTTGTAGTCCAGAGCTTGGCACACTAGGAAAAGCTTTTACCTGAATAGGGTCCCCGACTGTCCCCTGAATCACACCCATGTAAAGGAGGCACTCAGACGACATTGTGCCTTCGAGGTCTGTCCGATGCCTCATTCATGTGAATCACGAATGTGTAAATTAAGCAACTTCCAGCCCCTGGTCATGTGGTACAACTATGCTAGTGGAAGGGAAGATGAAAACATTCATTGAAGCCAGGCGGGCTCTGCCAGGCTGTTTGACCCGTGGCTGCATCTGGGAGATTATGGGTCATTTCATCTAAAACATCTGCATTAATTGTATAAATGAAACATCCTGAGCCCAGTCTGAGCTGAAGTCAATGCTTACAATACGCAGAAAGCAGGAATCCAGGAGCCAGGCAAAGGAGAAGCATCCCACTCTGTCTGCATCTCACTGGGCTCGCCCAAACAAACAACCTCGTGTTCCTTCTTTTAAGTTATAAGCGGAACATTCTTTAGGATTCAGGCGTTTTCAGTCCAGAAACTTGGCGAGTTGTGCGCTGTGATAATTAAGATAATTACCCAAAGTCCTACTGCTAATAAATGAAAAAAGTCAGGCAGTCCTGAGACTTTCACAACGGTGTCTTAAGAAAGAGAGGCAACTGCCTTGTTCTCCTTCTGTGTTACCCCAAGGCCCTCGGGGAAATCAAGTGAATGTCTGGGAAGACATGGGACTGATCGTGACTTGTTCCTAAGAAGCAGAATAAAAGCTCATTAAATAAAGGGATGATGGGGACAGGAGATGCAACGGTCATACAAGGTGAATGAGGGACAGCAGAGACGCAACGCACCTGCGGTCTGAGGGTCTACCAGATATTCAGAACCTCAACTATGGTTCCCAGGTCCCCTGTGTGTGGTGTCTAGAAGTACAAAAGCCACTAGGATGGGTAGGCATGGGGGTACTGCTATCTGCCCCGGTGAAGGGCATTAAGAGTGATAGCCGTCAAGATAATGGAGAAAGACACGATTTAAGAAAGAGCTCTTCAGATTTGTGTGAGGCACTTGTTATTCGCACAAGAAAATTCACACTTTGACCAGCTGTTTGTCGAGGACTGCCCCTGGGCCTGAGGAAACAGATTCATTTTGATCCATCTGGGCCAAGTCAAATGAGAGGTAGTGTGGCGCAGTGGACAGAGCACCTGCCTTGGAATCAGGAGATCATTCAGGTACTGGCTTTGGCACACCCTAGCTACATAGCTCCGAGCAAGCCCCTGGATCTCTGTAAGCCACAGTCCCCTCATCTATATAACAGGGGCAAGCTCATGGTCACAACTGATCCTAAAGGCCTGTGGTGGCTGCCACGGATGGAGTGCCCCTCTCTGACAATGAAGATGAGCTGGGAGAAGGTAACATTATAGGTCCTCGTTTGTACATTTATTTACTGCCTGGCCTTGCCAAGCTGCATATCTATAGGATGTGGATGTTAAGAAAATGGAAAACCCAACAGCTCATAAGCCTGCAAAGTGGATTATTCCAACCTCCCTCCACTCTTGGGGATGGACCGACAAATGTGGTTCGTTCAGTTATTGACTTTCTTCTCCAAATTCTCTCTCCACTCGAGGGGCCCTGCAGCCTCCCAAGCACAGATGCCTCAGCATCTACTTTCCCTCAGACCCAGCTCCTGGAGGAGGAGGACCACAGGGTTCAAGGAGAGAACCCTGCCTCTCTTTTGCCCCGTCAATAAAACGCCCAATATGCCCCAGGAGCGTGAACTAAGCTGGTTAAAACAAGAGCCATTGACTTCGGGGTGCATTTGCATCCCTCCACATTCCTGATCTGTAGCTTTCCCAGTTCCTTGGTGACGAAGGCTGAACGCTTTCCAGGCCACTAAAATGCGATCAGAAGATCCTCCAGAGCCTCAGGCGGCCCAGTAATAGATGGAGGCTCATTTTTGGAATGGATACAAAGCAATTTCAAGTTAATAAAAAAGTGTTGGATTTATCTTTCTGGCCTGTTTCCAGACACGTGTGGGTGATAAAGTCTGGAAATGGCTTCCTCTCCTCACACAGTTTCATCTTTAAGAGTACAGGTGGAGTTGGGCTGGCTCCGGAGCCCATCTGAATGACAGAAAACCAAATCTTCTCCACGCAGCGGCTTGCTGAGTTAGGCTTAGAGGTGCGTTGCTGCTGTACAGAGGAAGGCTAAGGGGAAGGCTGTCTGAGCTCTATCAGCAGGTACCTGGTACTGAATAGTCTGCCCTAGAATAGGAGAGAAATGGCAAATTCATCAATTCAGGATAAGGGAAATGTGTTCTCCGTGACTGAAAAAGAAGGTGGGCTGGTTGCATAGAAGAACCAAAGGCTTAACTGGTGGAGAGCTGGCGGGCTCCACGTGTGTCCTAGGGATATTTAGAGAACACGAGGGAGCTCCTGGACTGAGGGATGGATCTCTTGGGGTCAGCTTCTGGGACCACACAGATGGAAGTTGTCCCGGATGGGCTGGCATGGACAGGTTGAGACCTGCTTCACTGAATACCCATGGATCACAGACTTGTTGGAGCATTAAAATTAAGTTTAACATACTCGTGAAAGTTACTGACCTGACTCGTTTATCGGTTTTAATTTACATGATACGTTCAGAGGCATGGGCAAAGCTCGACTTACGTGCTCATCTCACCTGCAAAGTACATCTGAAAAGAAAAAATAAAACCCAACAGATTTCATGTTCTCTTCCATTTAGAACTGCCTGGGAAGCCTGTGAATGACAGTTGTGGTGGCCCACTGTTAAAGACATCCTCTAAAGGCTTGAGGAAAGCAGTGTAATTATGGACCATTGACCTCAGCCACAACGTTTGAGGACCCATCTTCTGCACTGAGAAAGCCTGTTATGCCCGCCCCAAACAATGACAGGACCACCAGCTGATAACACCAGATGCTTCTCAAGCCTAGGACCAAATTTGGAAAATGCAAGTCAGCACAGGAAGCTCTTTCACCTAGCATCTATCCCCACCTCCTTTCTTTTGCCCATGGGGGGATTTGCCAATGATGTTCCCCCCTTTCTCCTCTTCCAATATTCACAGCTCAGTCCAGCCCCAGAGGCAATCTCTTTTTCAGTGATACAAACACGGCCCTCTTTCCTGTCTTCTTTACCCTTCTTTCTTCACCCCTTCCCACATTTATCTTGGGCAGGCCTCCTCTCTCATCCCTTCTCTCTCCATCTTGTTCCACTTGAGCGCTGAAGAACCCAGGTGTTACCTGCAGCACCAGCATCACGCTGGGGATTCACTGCACATTCTGAAGTGAACCTGGACACAAAAACCACCTGGTGGCCTTGGCTGGGAGGGCCTTGAAAATCCTTAGAATTCCTCTCCAGAATGTCCACAGATTTCCCTCTTCCTCTAAGTAAGCCTGTTTCCTCTCTAGCCCCTGCACTCAGAACCCTTATCAATCATTTCTTGTTCAATTGTGCTTTTTTCTACTCATTTGATTACAAGCATCAAAACTGTGCTGTTTTCCACTACATAAAACAAAATCACACGTGTATTTTGGCTACATTTTATGTTCTAGGGACTCCTGTAGAATTGCTCAGAAATGAAATCACGATTTATGACATTGTTTCCACAGAAGAACACATTTCCAGTTCTAAGAAGCTGAATCAAAAATGAGCTTTTGGAATACAATTGGCTTGAAAATTGAGCAATGCCTACACTCCTTCTTGGCCTTGATTGTTTAAAAATAAAATAATAACAATATCATTTGATTTTACATCATGTAGATTTCTCACCCTTCCCAGAGAGTCATCCCTTACAAAAAGAAGAAAAAAGAATGAAAGAAAGGCAGCTCAGTAAAACTAACCTACATTGAAAAAGTCTGGCATTGTATACACCATTTCACACCCGTAGGCCCCCCCCCCCCCCACCTCTGCAATGCCGTATTTGCACAAAGCTCTGTTCCGAATGCTTCCTTTGCCAGTTTCTTGATGATGACTACTGTGAGGTTCTCGGCACTTTTCTGGCCACTACAGTCCAGCAGGACGTTAATCCTATGCCTGGGGGAAGAATTCTGCCTGAGGACGATGGTTTGTAGGAGACTGAGCTGTTTGCCCCCAGGGACAGAAGACTGCCGCACTTTGGGCACATCCACCCTGTAGTTCCAAGCCCACAAGAAGAGTCAGAAGCAGGGTCACCCCGCAACTCCCCCAAGGAACAAGCTCAGTGAGTCACAGGCAGCTGCAGAGCCAAGGTCCCCTCTGGGCAGCAGGACCTATGCGCCCAAAGACAGAAGCAGGAGACTTGGAATCTCCAGCTGGCCCAGCCAGAGCCATAGCAGGAGCTTTTACACCTCTGGGGCCAAACCCCGCGGGGGAGGGGGAGGTGTAAAAATCCACGGGGGGGGGGCAGACACTGTGCTGGGAAAGACAGGGAGATCTCTGGAGACAGTTCCGGGCGGTTTTGGGGTGAGGAAGGAGGGAAGGCAGGGGAGGCGCTCTCTCCCACTTGCTGGCTTCCTCTTTCTTATTCTCGCTACCAGCCACACAGCGCGCACGTTCGTGGTCGGCTGAAGGACCTTTTAAATTCGGTACCTTAATGCAGACCTCCCGCTGCCCCTCCCTGGTTGCAGCTCTGCTTCCAGCAGAGGATGTTAAAACCATCCCCTAATGTATAAGCATGCCTGTCTAATCTTCCCTATAAACCGCGTGGTCAGGGAGGGTACACCGGAGACTCGGCACCAATCAATGCCTCTCCTGTAATTAATGCTAATGGGAAATCTCCTCGCGCTAAGAAGGAATTAGGCGAACTATCCATGCCATTCAGTTGAGCCGAAGGTCTTGATAGTAGAAACTGGCTCCACGAATGAGTCCATGGAACGTGACCTCCATCAACATGGGACACATGTCTTCATCCTAGTGCAGTGGCGTCCAGACGGAGCGTGCTCGGAGCTGCCCCTCTCAGGGCACCAGGGATTATGAATCGAGCTTCCGAAGTGAAGGAGCTAACATGAGTCCTGAAAGGAACTCATTAAATAATGCTGGGTTTAATGAGCAGAGCAGTAAATAAACTCTGGGCTTCTTTTCCCCACTAGAGCATATAACAGCCATCTTCTGTTTTCTTTCCTCAAGTCTGTCAGATTCCAAGAGGATACGCTGATGAGTTCTGGCTGTCTGGGGATCACTCTTAGCCATCCTCATTTTCCTTGGTCTTTAGAAGAAACAATGAGAACACTTGGTGGAGACCTGTTCTGAAATCGGCCTCACTCCCATTTAGGCATGTGGCAGGTCACATGTCCAAATGAGCCAAGTTCAGCATCAGAAACAAACATTTCTTCTGCCCAAAGGAACTCTAAATGCATATTGGCTGTACGGCCATCCCTACTTCGAAGCCATGGGTTGCTGGGGTGCCTTAGGTCCTCACTGGATAAGGGTGGTGAGAAGGTAGGCTCCCCTTAGCTCCTACTGGAGTGGGAGTCCCTGTAGCCTAAGGCCCAGATCTTTTGTCCCACACCTGGGTGCCCCAAGCCCCATCTTCTGTGCAATGGTGTGGCTCTTCTGTAGGGCTCATGTTTCTTTCATGGAATTATTTATCTGGAGCATTTTTCCTGTACTAAAAGCCAGACCTTGCCACATCTTCCCTTCTGGGTGCTCTGGGATTGTCCATGAGCCGCTAACCTGCTGCAAGAAGATTCTAAATCCAACTAGCATAGGAAATGCCTTTCTCACAAGTGGCTGAACTGAGACTTCCCTGGTGTCCTCTGACTCCCCGAATCCCAGGATCCCCGACTTTGGAGGGCTCTTGTCAAAACTCTCCCTGCTCACGGCTCCCCTGTACCGCACTCCTGACAAGTGGTCATCCTGCCTCTGCCAGAAGGCCTCTCATGAGGGGGTCTGCCAGCTCCTGAGGCAGCCCTCATGGAGCTCAGTCAGGTGCTTGCCTCTTTCTCCATTAGCCTAACCCACGTGCGACCACAGGGGATGATGTGATTATAGTGCCCGCCAATGACGGGGGCTGATTGACTGATGGATAATAGGAAGACTCACTACCCCTTGGGGTGGAATACCAGGCAAAGGGCAGGAGAGAGGATTTGGGCAGTCCTACTCCACCTGTCCAGGGGGCCATATCCTTCCCATCCCCTGGGCATCCCTGAAGGGATTGCTGTGCCTGAGGGCAGAGCCCTGGACACAGTCACCTCCCTTAGGAATGTGGAGAGAGCTCTCCAACCTCTGACCTGTCAGAGAAGCTTGCCCTGGGCTACTCATGCATTTACACTCTTCCCTGCAGCAGCAGCATCTCAGTCCTAGTGTTATACCCACTTGTGGACATGAGGACCAACATTAACATGAAGTCATGAGTACAGGCCCAGCAGCCCAGTGCAGTGCCTCAGAGCCAGGAGCTGACCTCAGACTTCTAGTCTTGCCTCTGATACATGTTGGCTTTGTGATCCAGGGTAAGTCACTTACACACTCCATTTTAAGGCAGTTCCCTAAGGCTCTGAGGTATAGAGCAGGTGAAGGTCTGCTATTGGTAGAGGGAGCTTCCTCAATGGGCATTCCCAACATCAACGAAATCTTAGAGTATGTTATTTTCTTAAAGGACTGTATAAAGCTCACTAGAATCTGGGTTACCGTGGCTGTTGCAGCGGGACGTCTCCACGAGCCGGCCGTTTTGATCATAGCACGCCATGGCCTGGTACCGGTAGCCCTGTCCGCACTCCTTGATGTCCCCTTGCACCTTCATACCCAGGAGCACCTCCACTTTGCCTTCAGGTAAGATGCAGTCTGACCAGTTGCCCACAGCCTGGGCATTGTACTTGTCACAAGGGCAGAAATGGGTGTCAATCAGAGGGTAGAGCTGAGAATTTCTGCACTTGTCTTTCTTCTTACTTTTTCCTGCAGAAGAGAAGTTACAAGCATGTAAGTTGAGCATCGTCACTCGCAGGGCTGCCCATGCAGCAGGTGACAAGTAAGCTTCTGCTGCTCTGGAATGACACTTGACTGGAAGGCAACCATTGGTAGCCGGCCAGCTGCTTTCCCAAGGCGTCCTCTGCTCCCTTTTGGCCCTGATTTCCTTCTGAGCCATAGCTATAAATAGGTGCCTTCTCCCATCCCCAATCCTTCCTGTACTAGCTTTTGCCCATATTGTGTCCAGTGTCTCACTGCCAGCTCACAAAGCCCTCGTTGCACAAAGGACAAACTCTGTTGTGGTGATGCCAGCCTCATGCTGATGATGGAGACCCTTAAATCTTGCCCTCTGCCCCCATGGCTTCCACTCACTGAAAGACCAGCAGTGTGCTGCTCTGGGTGCTTCTCTTGCTTAAGGTGGTGAGGGGGTTGGCTGCTGAGCGCACTAGCTTGTGTTTACACACAGCTGTGATCCAGGCTGTGAGGGCTGGGATTTCCTACTTCCTTTTAGATCCTGTAGTGCCCCCTCCCTTCCTGAACACTAATTAGCTGGCTGTGTTTTCTCACTGGGTCCCAACTTTGGCCAGGACATTGTCTTACATTCAAGAGATTTGTTTAAGAATAGAGGAGAAACACTAGATGCTGTAACAGTCTGGGGAGGATTCCATCTATTTTCCCTCAAAGTAGACAAAATAAAATAAAAACTCCCCAGAAGTGTAAAATAATTCAACCTGATAAGTTCTAGTACTAGCCTCCATTAGCTGTGAGATATAGGGGTAAGTATATGCAGAGCCTCCAATAAGGCAATGTGGCACATTGGCAAGACTGCTGGATTTCAAGTCAGAGGGCCTGGGTTCAAATTCTGCATCTGTCATTTGCTATGTCTATGACCTTTGGAAAGGCACCTCCTTCTCAGGGCACCAGGATCCTCATCTCTAAATTAGAAGGCTGGACTAGAACTTTTTGGGGGCCCCTCCAGCCCCAGGTCTCAAATCCTATAATATTGCTTTATTGGCCATTGTAATGAAACCAGCCATCCCAAACCTTATGGCAACAAGGTCCTTTTTTAGGTGACCCGGTGCTGGGGTGGCTTCTTGTTAATTCATCCAGTCACATGATTAGGAACGCTGAGCTAGTTTCTTCACCATGGGGAGGCAGGGAAAATCAAAGATGGAGGCAGGACTAGTTGTGGGTGAGGGATACGGGATGCTAGAAAGGTCAGGACACCCACATTGAAATCCCTGCTCTAGCTTTGGATTTGTGTTCTAGCTCGGTAAGGATTCCACACACTGAGTAGATTCACAGACATACTCTCCTCTTACTACCTTATTTTCCACCTAAAAAATCATCTGCCACACGTTATGTAGGAAATCAGATTGAGCTCTATTTTTTTTTTTTAACAACTCACATGGTAGTAGCACATCGTAGTGCCTTTCAGGGCTGTTGACCTCCATGAAAACAGAGGTCCAGGTAAATTGCTGAAAGAACTCCTAGAAGCCAGGACAATCATATACACTCAGTCACACTTCAAGGGTTCAGCAAGAACTCTGCATCTGGCTTTCTCTATCTCCCTTGGGTTTTCCAACCTTGAAAGTGAATTTGAGTTTCCTGGCAATTCTTACCAACAATTGAACGCTTCCTGGTCCTGACTGCACCACAATCTCCATTGCACGAAGAAAACTTGGACCAGCTGGTGAACTGACAGTCATCTAAGCATGGGATCTGGCAGGCTTGAGTTAGTGCTGGTAAGGGGCCTGCGTACTGAAGGCACTCACTGACGTCAGCTTGTCCTCCATCTTGCTTGCGACAAGTGATGGCTAGAAAGGAAGAAGAAAAAAAGAGGATGTAGCTCATAACCAAAAGGAAATTTTGCAAAGAGTCTGTAATTACCTGGGAATAGCCACATATGCTTAGGAAGGTTGGCATTTTGGACTCCTGATTTACAAAGGAAACCTAGAAGGATCTAAAGATCGTGAAGAATCGCGTTTTCATTTTCGAATCACTGGCCATTATGATCTAACTGATAATTCCTTTAATGACAGAAAATATTCCATGGCTTCCAACATGACAAGAGTGCATGGCCCTCTGCTATAAACAGCTCAATACTGGACGCTATCCCACTAATTGTATTCCTGTCACATCTTCCTTCTTCACATGTGTATGAAAGCACCCTAAGGAACCAACTTGTGTTGTCATGGAGATCTGACAGGGCTTTGAGACCCCTTCCACTCTCAACAAAGTGTGTAAGTAGAGATGCACTAAGTGCCATCAATAATTAGAGTTGCATACTCACCATTGGCCTCAATGAACTCAGCATGCACATTGATCTAAGACCCAGGAAACAGCTGACTCAAGTGGACATTATATTGGCAATTGGATGCTCTCATGTTGGGCTTCCTGCTTTGACATTTCATGAGAGACATCGGAAATCTCAAGCCTGTCCCAAAGAGGATGACCAGGATGGGGAAGGGCTTTTAGTCTATGTCAGGTAAGTGTTGGATGGAAGAAGTGTTCATTTGGCTGGGAAGGGAGAAGCAGACACAGGAAAGCTATCTTCGGTCATTGAAAGGACTGCAGAAGATGGATCTGACTTGTCTTGCTTGGCCCCAGAGGGCAGAACCAGGCACATGGAGGGGTATTTTCAAAGAGCCCCATTTAGGCTCCATAATGGGACAACTTTCTAACAAGGACGGTCATCCCAGAGTGGAAGGGGCTCCCTCAGGAAAGAGTGAGGCTTCCTTATTACCAGAAATCTTTCAATAAAATTTGGATGAGCCCTAGTTTCCAGAAGGCATTGTAGGGGGATTGTGATTCAGGGGTAGGCTAGACTTGATGGTCCTTTCAAACCATGAGATTCCATGTCCTTTAAAGAAAAGAAAGCCTACAACAGACTATTAGCGCTACCAACATTTTACCAATTCAACTGAATTCACCCCACATTTATCAAGTGTGTTCTAAGGACAAGGTTCTCTTCTAGGTGCTGGCAGTACAAAGATGAAATCAAACCCATCCCTCAACTCCTGGAGCTGCCACTCTACTGGGGGAGGGGAATACAACACATATATAGGAAAGTAATCACAAAGTACATATTAAATAATGCAAAGCAATTTAAACAGAAGAGAAAGCTAGTAATTGGGGCAAGCAAGAAAAGCCCTTGGTGAAAGCTGTCAACCAAACTATGCTTTAAAGGCATCTGGGAGTTTTAAAAGGCAGAGGCCAGGAGGCAGGGAATTCCAGATAGAGAGGATGACCCAGGCAAAGGCAAGGAAGTGGAAGAGAGAATGTTACGTATGAGGGCAAGCTCATGAGCCAGTGCCTGGCACAGAGAGGGCAAGGAGGGGGACAGAGGGGATAAGACTGAAAAGCTGGCTCTAGGCCAGGACAGTAGAGAGCTTTAAACAACAGCATGAAAAACTTGTGTTTTTTACCAGAAAAAAAATGAGCCGGTGAGGGTTTTTGAGCGTAAACTTGACATGGTCAGATCTGTGTTTTACAAATATCAAGTTGGCGGTTTGATGCAGGATGGATTGGAGACTGTGGCCAGTATGATCAGCTAGGAAACTCTGATGAGAGTCTGGGCAAGGGGTGACCAGAGCATGAGCTAGGGCATTGGCCATGTGAGTGGAGAAGAGGGGACATGATAAGAAGGGAGAGATGATATAGAGGTAAAATTGATAAGACCTGGCAGCTGCTTAGATATGGGAGGGTGAGGGAGAGGAGAGATTCAAGGATGCCTCTTCAGTGATCAACCAGAGTAACTGGTTGTGGTTAGGGGTCAGTGAATAGATGAATCTGCCTTATGTTCTATAGTGTCAGAAATAAATCTTCTCTCAGCTCATGCCCATTGGCCCTGATGCCAGGCAGAAGGCTGGTAAGGAAACAAAACCAATTACATTATGTGGTTCTATATAGCTTAGCAAAATCTCTTTCCTGTTTTCTTTATCCCTTTTCTTCATAAATAAATTTATAGGCTCCAAAGTCTGTCAGAAGCTTAAAGGGGGGGGTGCATTTACAATGCTTCCACGACAAAAGTTCCCGTGGGAAGATACGTTGTATTTTCCTGCAGATGCATTCCTTTTATTGAGTCTAATCTGAGATGGTTTGGTATGGAAATATAAGGAGGACTTTGTCTCCCACAAGCCTGTGTATAGTGCAGTTCACAATGGTGCTAACATTGGTAGATGATAGATTGCAATTGTTGTTGTTCAGTTGTCTCTGACTCTGTGTGACCCCATTGGGGGTTTTCTAGGGAAAGACTAGAAGAGTGGTTTACCATTTCCTTCTCCAGCTTTCCTTCTACAGTTCATTTTACAGATGACAAAACTGAGACAAACAGGGTGAAGTGACTTGCCCAGGGTCACACAGCTAGTGAGTGTCTGAGGCCAGATATGAACTCAGGAAGATGAGTCTTTCTGATTCCAGGCCTGTCACTTTATCCACTGTGCCAATGACCAAGTGGTAATATATACAGGGTGCTTAGTGAGAAATTGGGCACAGTCTCAAAAGGGAGAGAACATGGGAAAGAATTGTGGAGAAATATTCCAGAGGCTGAAAAAAACATCTTGAGATTTGGGTTCCTGAGAAGCAGTGCTCTGTCCCTCATCACAAGAAACTCAGGGCACCCAAATGCTACTGTTGTGGATGCTGTCACAGTACCCATCTCGCCAGTCTGCTGTAACAACTGACTGAGGGCAGAGAGGAAGGACTCCTACATCTATTTTGTTCTCCCGTTCCTCTAGCTCATGATGCCAGGTGACATATCCCTTGGAAATACGGGAAGAGTAGTTTGAGAAGACAGATCTGGTGCTTGATTTCTGTCAAGAACTGTTTAATAACCCAGCATTTCATTTTAAATAAATGCTTTTCTTCATTGCTAGGATGTTTTATGATTATTCATGGTGGGCCTGTCTGGGGGGCTTCAGGTAGGAAAGACAGGGTCTTGTGCACAATAGAATACAGATCCAAGTTAGCGCTAGATGACACCAGGTAACCCTTACAAGTGCTGAAGAATAACTTAATGGCCCCAAGTTACCCCAAGAATCAGCAGCTCTTGCTTATACAATGACCATAAAAAGGCCATGAGAAGATTGGTCATGCAGCTCAAATGACTTGGGTTCTTACTGGGAGGAAACCTGACTTTTCAAATGCAGGAAAAGGGTAAGAAATTAACTTCCTCCTGTTAGGGTAAGAACAAATCAGTGTGTGGAAAGAAAGCCATCTGGCCTCCTGACTTTATGAAACTTGGAGCATGTTTCCCAAACTAAAAAACAAGGGAGTTTCAACCGAACAATTCTTGGAGAAACAATGTAGGCAGCTCAGAAGCTTTTGTATCAGAGAGTACATCTTTAATGGGCAGCTATATTTACAACTGGAATTTGTGCACTGTGTGAAGTATGTCTGGATCACATGACCTGCTTTTCCTCTCATATTTTCAGATTGAGTGAGCCATGTGAGAAAAGGAAGCCAAGTTCATGGTCCCTTCCAGATATTGTCTGATAGAGGGCAACTGAGATAGGGAAGAACCTTGAATTCATGAGCTGTGAGGATTGGGTCAAGTTATCAGAGACATTTAGATCATAGAAGAGAAGACTGCAGAGTGACATGAAATCTATCTTCAAGTTGGTAAAGAGTTGTCACGTGGAAAAGGGCTTGGATGGGTTCTACTTGGTTCCAGAGGTCAGCATGAGCAGCAGAGTCTAACTGAGGTTGGATGCCAGGAGAAGCTTCCTCAGCATCAAAGCTGCAACCAGCTCCTTCAGGAAGGTGTGGTTTCTCCTTCCCTGGAAGCCCCTAAACAAAGGCTGGATGGCCACTTGTTGGGTATATTAGAGTGGAGATTCCTTTCAGATATAGATGGTCATTGAGGTCTCTTGCAACTTTGAAATCCTGGCATTCCATTAATTTCTTGATCTTTCTCTGAGTAGCTGATAATGCCATAGGAGACAACATCCAACTGGCAGAAAAGAATGTTGCTCTTTTCCAGTTTCCAAAGACCATTTCTGTCAGATATAATGGAGCAGCTCAAACCAAAAAGTCGATGATGGGTCCTCAAAATGTGAACAGAGCTTTGAAGTTGGATGCTACCAAAATGCTACATGGGTTACCCACTGTAGTCCATGATGGGGAAATTCTTATGGCTTAATAGAATAATCTCTTGGGGTGCCAAGAAACAAGAGTAGCCAGAACCCCCTAGAGGATGGTAGCATCCATAAAGACCATTTGGGCCCCATGGCTTGTAGGCATTTCACCTGTTTCTAGCCTAGATCACTGATAGCCTATTCATTCCATAATTGTAGGTTATGGCACCCAGGGATGATGATTAAAGAGAATGAAAAAGTCATGTGTGGCAAGCGTGGTAGTCTGAAAACCTCTGGGCATAATCTTTGTTGTGATAAGATATCTCTGCACTTCTCACCACCCTGCCCCCTCTTGACTCCTGTCAGTCCTGGGCTTTCCCCTTTTAGGAAAGCTTTTATAGACTAATACTAGCTAACACTTATGTAGCACTTTAAAGTTTGTAAAAATCTCATTTTAGCCTTACAACAACCTTGGGAAGTAGGTGCTGATATTACCCCCATTTTATAGATAAGGAAACTGAGGCAGGGAGAGGGTAACCTGCTTAGTGTCACACAGATATCAAGTATTTGAGGCCATATCTGAACTCAGGTTTTCCTTACTTCAAGTCCAGTGCACTATCTGTTATATCACCTAACTGCCTTGTACCCGGAACTTTCCAAGCTAGAAGCTTTTAGTTACCTGTCTAATTGGTGTCTCCCTACCTGGGACATCGGAAATGGGAAACCAATTAGATGCCCAT